ATCTCCCATGTATGGCCATGTGCAGGGAGATTTTGCCTATAGCCCAGGCCAGAGGGAAGCCTATTGCCCAGCCCAGAGGGAAGCCTATAGCCCAGCCCAGAGGGAAGCCTATAGCCCAGCTCAGAAGGAAGCATATAGCCCAGCCCAGAGGGTGGTGGGTGTGGTTGCTCATGCTGGTTATCACATGTCGTGGGCTGCAACAGAAGCACCTACACAGCTTGGATGACTTTGATAACTCTGCATGATGGAGGGATGTGGTAATTCTGCATCAGGCAAGATAATGTCTAGGGTAGAATATAGATGGTAGTTTAGAAGTAAGGAATGTTTATAATATGATGCTTATATACACATGTATGCATGTTTTTGTGGTAATAAACTTAGGTAAAACGTTTTGAGATGGTAAGACACAAGGCAACCTACGGCATATACCTTCATGGGAGCTAATTATTTCATTGGCAATAAGGTTTTGCATCTCTTTGCAGGATTGTTAGCATAGAGCTTATAGAAATCATGTTCCCAACAACGTTCCCGTATTTCCCTTAAACCGGGACCGGCCTCTGTGTGGGTGTCTTGGGAATGGTTGGTGCCGCGAAGGCGCGAGGAACTCGGGGGGGTCCCAATTCTCACCGTCCGTGCGGAGGTTCTGAAACGCGGATGGACGGACGGATGCAATCCGCAACGGTTAGTGGAAGAAGGAATCTGAGCTGACTCCCCTGAGCTGGTGAGTGAAGGCCACGGCAACCCCGCCTGTCACAGCACCGCTGCTACCTCCATCACGCACGCGAACTGGTTGTTGCATCAGTTCAGTACAACCTCGTTCCAATCTTGTTCGCTCACTTCCCCTCCCTTGCCCTGTACCTTAACCGTCTATCTCGTTGAATGAATTCGCGTCTCTGGGACGTTGGCGAGCACTTCAGGGAGCACTAAGACAGGACATGCGAGCGTCAGTGTAGCCTCCAACGTGTACAAATAGGGTATTGCGCCGTGTTGCCTGTTAGGTATAGTCCATTTATATGCCCCGGCACATCATCTCGTGTTTTTCTGGGTCGAGCAACCGAAGAGCCCGAAGAGCGTCAGTGGTTTTCGTCTTGTCGATATGATGGGAGACCGTCGGCATGGAAGAGCCGATTGTCGCACGACCCACGCTGTCGACCAATCTTCCGTCGCAGAGGCGTCGCCACTGGATGTCGTTATTCCAGATTCCCGCACCGGCTCAATATGCGAGTCGTCGACTCGGCGGAAGTGCGACGATGCAGCAGCACGCAGCGCCTTCTGCCGGCACGAAGACGCAAGTCTCCTTACCCGCGAAACTTCAGCCACGTCAGCGTCTATCCTGGAGCCCATCATGCTGTCGTCCACAGTACCACGAACACCGTCGAATTCAGAGGCTTCCTCGTGTTTAGTTAAAAGCGAGACGGATAGAACTCCCCACTCCAAGGCTGTGGACTCACAAACTGACACGGCGAACGAATGGTTCAAATCGCACCTGCATCCACGGCGGTGTATCTGGGTGACGGCCGCCGTCGGATTGCTCATGCTGGTCGGAGGACTAGTCGCCGTTTTGGGTCCGTTACTCTTTTCTAAAGTCATCATTCCCATGCTGGAATGGGAGCAAAAGAATCTTAGTCCTCCAGTCCTAGGTGTAGTAGCCGTTGCCAGTATGGGTCTCTTCCCAGTGGTTTTTATCCCCACGGGTCCCTCCATGTGGCTCATCGGGATTGTCTTCGGCTACGCGTGGGGTTTCATCCTCATTATGGTTGGCTCCTTGATCGGTCAATCGCTGCCGTATTTCATTGGTCACTGGCTGTTCCACGCGCGTGTGCAAGCGTGGTTGGCCGACCACCCACGGAACGCTGCTGTGCTGCGATTGGCCGAGGCTGGCGGCTGGTGGCACCAGTACCGGGTCACCTTGCTGCTCCGCTTCTCCCCGTTTCCGTTCCTCCTCTTCAACTGTAAGTAGATCCGCCTTCGCCAGTTTTAAGTACCAATCTGCCCTCTCGTGGGTGCTTTAGGTTGCTAGGCTGTTAGCTTCAATTCCGAGTTAAGGGGAGGTTTCTGTGGGCCTCCTGCTGAGTCGTTTCTGTTGCCGCTCTCCTCCTTTCTTTCTGATGATCCACAGATGCAGTAACGGCCACTCGCATCCGCTATGCGCCCTACATTTCTGCATCAATGACCGCCATGATTCCCGAAGCCTTTTTCACCATCTACTGGTGCGTATGCCGCACGCCCTTACCAAGTCTTCGCCACCGTCCATTGCTACATGTCATGGGGTCATTGCAAGAATTGACACGGCTTGCCCCATTACCTGAGTCATCTGGTGGAGCTGGAGTATCAGTTGGTATAGCTTGGTTGCCTTCTGTATCATCTCCTTGTATCCATTCTACAGCGGTGGAGCTGGTGCATGAGCTGATAGGGTTGGCTGTTGATTATCTAGCTCTCTGTGTCATCTCCTTAACTTATTTAAACCCCCCCCGTTCGCCCCTCTGTTACAGTGGTCGCCTGATCAGTGATCTGGCGGAGGCCCACAAGCGGCACATCACAGTGGTGGAGCTGATTTACGAGCTGATAGGGCTGGCGGCAGCAGGCGTGGTGCTGCTGCTGCTCATGGTGCACGGCAAGAGGGCGCTGCAGCAGCTCGAGGAGGAGGAGAGGGCCAAGCACAAGGGGATGGAAATGGAACAGGTGGCTAGCGCAGGTGCTGATGGGTCGGGTGCGGTGGAGACGGGTGTTGCTGGTCCGTTTTTTAGGGTGGAAATGGCTGCTGCTGAGGTGGCACTCATTGCTGATGACTCTCAGAATGTGCTTGGAAGGGAGGGGGAAACTCAACGAGGGAGTCAGGGTCATTGTAAAGGCATGCAGGGTGACTGCCCTCTTGCCACTAAGAGCATGCGAGGGGATACTCCAGGGAAGGGCAATTCTTCTGTAGTGATACATGAAACTGAGGCCCATGAAGATACAGGAGAGGAGGGGGATGGACTTCTTGGCGCACAGTCGTTTTACAGAAAAGGGTTCTTCCGCCTGGGCAGGTTAAGTGTGGGAGAGCCAAAAGAGGCGGAGATGACAAGCCATGACGCTGAAGTGGGATTCCAAATGGCCCGCTGAAGTCTAGGGGAATTTAGGGAGCGGTGGATGAGATTCAAAGCCGTATGTTGTCCGTTGTAACTTGCTTGCCAGTTCCTGGGTTTCAATTATGTCTGGTTTATATTTTAAATCATTGAAGTCATGGTATCATGAAGTACTAGCGGGATGGGAAGGAGAGCTGATCAAGTCAAAAGAGGGTTGCATTGACCACTTTATTCAAGGATGTATCGTTAAACGGATGTACAGCACCGTATACCGTCTGTGTATAGCGGGCCACCACGTTCTGCCGTGAGGAATCACATTCTTGCGCCGTCGCCTGTACCCTCGATCCCGCCACCCCCCTCCCTCCCTCACACCCAACCCCGCCATCCTTCCTCCGCCACTACACCCCCTCCTACCGACCATCCAAACCAAGATAGACCTTGGGATTGCCGAACACCACAGATAGCGGGTGTGGTGAAATGTAGTCTAGTCCACTGAAACCATATGTACTTCAGAATAGAGCCGTTTCCGCGTTGATGTGGCTCGCTTCGCGCTGGGAGAAAACTAGCACGGGTTCGTGGGTGGCGAAGACGCCGGGATCTCTCTTAGATTGTACGAGAGGCTACTCTATACGACCGGAGCATTGGCTGGAGAAACGTGAGTGGTTGTTATATTGTTTGTCCACGTTTCTCTCACAATGTAAAGCGTTCGTCATTATCGAGCATCGGTTTCTCTCGCATAGTGAACACAGGAGCGATAGGTACGCTTATCTGGTTTGTCACGTGCGCCGTAACCCGCGTGCCAAGTAGTGGTAGGAAGGTTGGTTGGATAGGAGGGCGGGATTGGTTGTCGAGAAGTTCTCCTAGGGAACTCTCAACCAAAGGTAGGAAGCTCGAGGCAATTTTGGGACATTTTGGTTCTTGTTCATTTCCTCGCTTTTTACACTGCAGCAAGTGTGCTATCCCTTTTATCCATATTGTCGTAGTTAAACTTGGAAAATCGCGCGACATTGTCTACCCTGGTCGTCGCCTTCTCTATGTGTGTCAGAGGTTCGCATCGCAGGTGACATCGACCGACCATGGCGGCGATGATGCAGCGATCGCTCTCAGCTGCGACGTCAGAAGACGACGAGTTCGACGAGGAGGTGAAGATTGAGGAAAAAACATCCTTCTTGTACATTGCCTATTGTAAATGGTATTTTTTTTAGGACACGTTGAACGCTGACGAGGGGAGAGGACGTGAAAACCTCCTCCCGTGTTTGCCTGCTCAGATGATGTTGCGCAATGGCTGCTCCGCCTCGTGCTCGAAGGGTATTTTTACATGTTACATGCTCGTAGGGTAGTTCTACATGTCCGCAGGCCATTCCGATTGGAACCCACGGCACTTGTTCCTGCGGGGGCTAACCGCTGGCTAACCGCTGGCTAATCGCTGGCTAACCGCTGGCTAACCGCTCCCGAATGTGTGTGTATGTGCGTGCTTGTTGTCTCTCCGATTGTGGCCGGCAGCTCGATGGGTTCGACGACTTCACGCTGGCGTCGCCATGGGAGCGGTGAGTGTCGTCTCGCTCACGCAATACTTGCGCGCTCGCTAGCACGTTGCGACTCACATCACCTTGCATCACCTCACATCACCTCGCATCACCTCACATCACCTCACATCACCTCACATCACCTCGCATCACCTCACATCACCTCACATCACCTCACATCACCTCACATCACCTCACATCACCTCACATCACCTCACATCACCTCACATCACATCACAACAATCTCCCCCTTTTTTTTTTAAGTACTGGACGCGTCTTACGCCCCTGCGTCTCGCTCCTCCGTCTGAGTTCCCCACATTTCTGGACGTGTGCTTGCTCGCCTACCTGTCTGTTTGCCTGCTTGCGTGCATGCATGTCATTGCCTCTTTCCATATGCCATTCGCCGTACCCGAGCCCAGGTTCATTGCTGCGGTGGAGGGCAGTCTGCGCCAGTGGCTGTCGGAAGGCTCTGCTGCGCTCGTGCAGGTACTTACTCGATCAGCTGTACTTACACGATGTGATTCCTCTGCGCCGTTTTGCCTCGGTTACACCTGCTGTGATACATACGCCACATCAGCTAGATGGTCCGATTCGTTATTGTAATGATGCTTATTTCTCGCCTTACAATCTACAACCTCCGCCCCTCTCCCCCCGAGCATACGGGAGCAGAGCGGCCGGTGGAAGGCAAGCCGCTGATGGTGTACGTGGAGATTACTCAATCGAGCTACCCCCCCCCCTTTCTCCCCTCCCCCTCCCCCCCCACCGCTCTCCCCTTTCTGCCCCCCACTTTCTCCCCGAGCAGACGGGAGCAGCGCGGCCGGTAGAAGGCATGCCGCTGATGGTGTACGTGGAGGCGGAGCACGCTCAGGGGCATAAGAACTACCGCCTCACCTACTACTTCCAGGTGAGAAAACCCATGGTGGTGTACTTATTTCACATTATCATTTGCTTTCCGTAGAATCCATGGCTCTAGGTTCCCATTTTTACCATGTGCGTGCCCTTGCGAAGTGATTTGCTCCACACAGCTATACGTTTGTCACCATCACCGTGCATGCATTTGCCCGCCATGTTCTTGCCTGCACTTTCTTCCTCCTCCCACCCTCGCCCCGCTCTCCCCGGGGGTGTCTCTGACCAACAGCAACAGCGTGCACCCGTGAGTGGCTGCGGAGATAGCAGCAACTCTGAAGCCCATAGCGTCCATCGCCCACGACCATGTGCTCATCCCCATGACCCATGCCATTGCTACGACTCCCCACTCCCCCACAACCCCACCCCCTCCCTCACGACCGCACCCCCCTCCCTCTTCCCCCAGGTGTCTCTGGCGAACAGCAACAGCGTGCACCCGTCAGTGGCTGCGGAGACAGCGGCGGCGCTGAAGCGCATAGCGTCCATCTCAGCCACGGGCCGGCCCAGCCCGTGGGAGAAGGCTGTGCACCCGCTACAGCTCTGGTTCGGCATTCAAGAGTTCGTGGTGAGTCTTTGAGCCGACTGATTTTCCCAGCCCGTGGGAGAAGGCTGTGCACCCGCTGCAGCTCTGGTTAGGCATTCAAGAGTTTGTCGTGAGTCTCTATTGTTGTCGTTTTTCTGGATTTTTTTCCTGGTATGCGCCGTGGCATGCTGCTATTCGTGCTGACTCGTTTGTGCTGACTCGTTTGTGCTGACTTGTTTGTGCTGGCTTGTTCGTTGGTGTGCTTGGCTTGACTCGCCTTGTACTCGTGGTCTACTTCCTGCTCAATTCCCTCACCGCTGCCACAGGTGCTGGCCCCAGTGACAGCGTCTGGCGTTGTGCTGGACTCACCTGAAGCCTCCATGCTGCTCAGCACCCTCGCCATCGCCTCGTGTAACACCGAGTGGTAACCACCCGATTTGCTTTCTAAAATACTCGCCATAGTTCCCGCTGCCTTCAATAGGGAATAGTGGGGCAGGTGTAGTCGGGCGAGTAGTGACATCGTCTGGCAGTGAAGCTTACATGCACCTTTAGCAGTGCAGCCCTCCATGTAAGCGTCTCAGCGTCTGCCTGCACCTTCTTGTGCTCGTCTCCCCTCCGTCTCCTCCCTTCTTACCATACCATCCCATCCCATCCCATCCCATCCCATCCCATCCCATCCCTTGCCCCTCAACCCACCCTCCCGCAGCTCCCTGCCCTCCTTCGTCCCGGTGCACGACCCCTCCCGCAAGGCCTTCATAGGCTTCCAGCACGGCCCCCGGGCCACCCGCACCAGCTCCAACGCAGGCTCGGGTCGAGGTGTGCGGTCAGGTCCGGGCGCGGGCGGAGGCACGGTGGGAGGGGTGGGGGCGGGGGGCGTGGGCGACTATCTGTTTCACTACGAGGCGGACCGCATCACAAGCAACGTGCCACAGAACCTGCTGTCCCTGGATGGGCTCTACTACCTCTTCGCCTTCAAGCTGGTGAGAGCTGGTTGTTCTCAAGTAGTTGAGGGGATTCTAAGTTCTAACAGCGGGGGGCGTGGGCGACTACCTGTTTCACTAAGAGGCGGACCGTATCACGAGCAACGTGCTGCAGAACCTGCTGTCCCTGGATGGGCTCTAGTATCTCTTCGCCTTCAAGCTGGTGAGGGATAGTTGCTCTGTGTCTCGAGTGCAGTCTGTTTCTGAGGTGCCTCAAACACAGACTCCTCCTCACACACTGAACCTGCTGTCGCTCTACGGCCTCTTCTACCTCTTTCCTCCCACCCGCAGATAGCAGAGCTCCCCAGCAGCGTGGCGTCTGTCTCCCTTGACGTTCCCGTGGCCATGCGCACTCGCTACCGCCTGCGCTACTGGGGCTCCGCATTCCCCCCCTCAACCCCCATCCCCGCCCTTTCGCCCCTTGTTCCACCCGCAGATAGCGGGGCTCTCCAGCAGCGTAGCATCAGTGTTCCCTAACGTCACTGTCGCCATGCGCTTCCGCTACCGCCTGCGCTACTGGGGCTCCGCGATCACCCTATCCTGCCCGCCTCCTTGTCTCCCCCATCCCCCCCCCCTTCCTGGCATGCTCTCACAGATTGCGGAGCTCCCCAGCAGCGTGGCGTCTGTCTCCCCCGACGTCACTGTCGCCATGCGCATCCGCTACCGCCTGCGCTACTGGGGCGCCCCCGACGCTCCTCCCCCTTCTAGCCGCGCAGGAGCAGGCGGGAAGGACGAGGAGGGTGCGGGAGGGGGAGGAGCGGGAAGCGGAGGAGGGGCGGACGAGGAGGATGAGTACTGGGGGCAGGAGCGGGCGTGGGACGAGGGCATGGCGTGGAGTGTGTGGCATGCAGTGGACGACCCTGTGAAGGGCTTCGAGCTGGTGGCCACCTGGAAGGAGCTGAGGGCCAGCAGCTCGTCGGGCATGGCGCAGATGGAGCAGCTCGACGCCACGACTGCTGATGAGTGGCTGCTACGCGCGCTCCTCGCTCCCACCAGGTGAGCCGCGCTGTTCGCTTGCTCCTCTCAACAGGTAAGGGAGTTTAAGTGCGCCTACCAGGTGGGGACAAGCAAATCGTCGGGTATGGCGCGGATGGAGCAGCTGGACGCCACCACCGCTGCGGATGAGTGGCTGCTGCGAGCTCTCCTTGCCCCCACCAGGTGAGCCGCACTGCTCGCTCGCTCCTCTCAACAGGTAAGGGATTTTAAGTGCGCCTACCAGGTGGGAGCCAGCAGCTCATCGGACATAGCGCATTGCAGCAGCTAGATGCTGCCACCGTGGGGCCACTGCTCGCTCCCACGAGGAAGGCGCCCCCCATCTCCCCCTACGTGCTGTTCTCGCCCTCCGTCCCTCCCTCTCACGCCTGGCTCCTACTCTCCGTTTCTCCCTCCCCTGTCCGTTTTCTCGTTTCCCTTTGCTGCAGGACGGACTTTGACAGTGACGACCCCCCTCAGGGATTTGCTGGGCGGCTGCATGCTCTCCTGGGGGCGTACGTGGTGTCCACCACAGGGCAGTACATGGAAGACTTTATAGCGGGTATGTGCTGTACATGGAGGCTTCAATGGGGAAATCAGCTTATAGATGAGGTCGACGTACACTGAGTGAATTCCACGTGTGTGACAGTTTGGATTGGAGATGCTTATGCTATTGTATGTGCGTGCTTCCCTCCCATCTTCTCGTCTCCTCACATCTCTTTCTCCTTCCTCTTCTCGTCTTCCTACGTTTCGTCCCCCCCCTCGCAGCTCAGAACTTTGCGCGGCGCAACAACATGACCATCCCCCCTCCCAGTGTGATGGAGCGTGTGGTGAAGGACCTCTTCCACTCCAGTAAGTCGGGGGTTGAGCCTCCACCAAGGGCTTATTATCATCGCATTATGGATGAAGCAAGGTCTTGTTATCCCAGGAAGCGCACTCTCTTGGCTATGTATAAGAATAGCAGATATTCCTGCAATTTCAATATTTAGTTTCTTCCTTCCATTTCTCTCCTTTCTCTCCTACACTGTTGTCCCACTCGAGAGGAGGCGCTGGCATCAGTGGCGAGATGCGTGGGAAAGGTGTCGGAGCACCAGGAGGTCAACCTCACATATCTGGTGGAGCCCAGCATGGCTGCTCATCCCTGTGATTGTAACTATTATCTGGTGGACTCAAAACGAAATAACTATCATCTGGTGGAGCCCAGCATGCCTGCTCCTCATGCCCCTCTCCTTCCTTCCCCACAATCACCCCTCTCTTACCCTCTCCACTCCCCTCCCCCTGCATTCCCTCTGAGGATGCGCTGGCATCGGTGGCCAAGTACATGGGAAAGATGTCAGGGCAGCAGGAGGTCAACCTCCCATCTAATGCCCCTCCCCCTTCCCCTCCTCCGCCCCAGAGGAAGCGCTAGCATCCGTGGCCAAGTACATGGGCAAGGTATCAGAGCAGCAGGAAGTCAGCCTCACGTCTGGTAGGCCCCTCCACTCTCCATTCCATTCAACCTTCCTCCAAAACCCCCCCTCCCTCTGTCCCCCCCCTCCCCCGCTCCTCCCCCCTTCCACTCCAGAGGAGGCGCTAGCATCAGTGGCCAAGTACATGGGCAAGGTGCCGGAGCAGCAGGAGGTCAGCCTCGCATCCGACACTGACCCGGCCCCCACCATCACCACAGCCAGCAGCATCATCAGCAGCATCAGCGGGACGGACACCAGCGCCACCGGTAGCGGGGTGAAGGGTCCAGGAGCAGAGGGGGCAGCAGCGGGAGCAGGAGGGGAGGGAGGAGGAGCAGGAGGTGGGGGAGCAGGGGTGGAGGACAATGGGCTGAGTGGCAAGTTCAAGGGGGCGACTCACATCGGCAAGGCGGCTCCTGTGGATTCTTTGTTCTCACGGCTCGCCCTGCATGTGCTGCGCTTCGGCACATGCAACATCCGATGTGAGTGGCATGGCATGTGCTTTCCACTCCAGGATTGGGAGGCCTGGCATTGTTGCTGGAGTTCACTCAGGAGCTAGAGCCCGGCTCTGACTCCCCTGTCCTGTTCCCCTCTCCCGCTTTCAGTCCTCGTTTAGTGCCTCTATTGCACACTCTAAACTCGATTCCTCCTCGCCCCCGCCATACCTCCACCCGCCATCCTTTCTCCCTCCGGTTATCCCTCTTTCATGCCAAGCCCTGACACCATTGCCCTGACTGACACCATTGCCCTGACTGACACCATTGCCCTGACTGACACCATTGCCCTGACTGACACCATTGCCCTGACTGACACCATTGCCCTGACTGACACCATTGCCCTGACTGACATCATTGCCCTGACTGAAACCATTGCCCTGACTGACACCATTGCCCTGACTGACACCATTGCCCTGACTGACACCATTGCCCTGACTGACGCCATTGCCCTGACTGACACCATTGCCCTGACTGACGCGATTGCCCTGACTGACGCCATTGCCCTGACTGACGCCATTGCCCTGACTGACGCCATTGCCCTGACTGACACCATTGCCCTGACACCCCTTACGCTCTCACCCTTGCCCTGTTTTTTACTCTCCCAACCGTGGCGGCGCTGTGGCTGGAGTTTACCAGGGAGCTGCAGTGGAGCCGGGAGCAGGCTCTGCCCATCCCTTGCTTATTCCCCTCTCCTGTTTCCACTTCCTCTGGCTCCCCTTCCCCTCTCACTCACCTACTCCTACCTCCCTCTCCCAGCTGTGGCGGCGCTGTGGCTGGAGTTTACCAGGGAGCTGCGGTGGAGCTGGGAGCAGGCTCTGCCCATTCCTCGGGTCATAGCCGACGGGCCTCCCCACACCGCCACCTGCCTCATTCACCAGAAGCTGCAGCTGGTAGGGTTACCACAGCCCATGCTGCTGCAGCTGGTAGGGTTACCACAGCCCATGTTGCCACAGCTGGTAGGGTTACCACAGCCCATGTTGCCACAGCTGGTAGGGTTACCACAGCCCTTGTTGCTGCAGCTGGTAGGGTTACCACAGCCCTTGTTGCTGCAGCTGGTAGGGTTACCACAGCTCTTGTTGCTGCAGCTGGTAGGGTTACCACAGCCCATGTTGCTGCAGCTGGTAGGGTTACCACAGCCCATGTTGCTACAGCGGGTACGTGGCTTGGAGCCGACTCTCAGGCCTCCCCACACTGCCATGCCATGTGCCTCATCCACCGACATCTACAGCTGGTAGGCTCGCCAAATCCCATGCTGCTGCATTGGTATAGGGTTTCTCATTCGTCGCTAACCCCCCTCCTCCTCTTCACCCTGCCCTCGCCCATTCTGAGCCCAATCTCTCCTCTTTCCCCCTTCCCCCATCTTTCCCCTTCCCACCCTTCAGCTGCAGGAGTGCATTCGGCGGCGGCGCAAGCAGCAGGAGCGGGAGATGGAGGAGCGCATGCGCCACGCCGAGAGAATGCACCAGATCGCCGCCGCCAAGCTTGTAGGCGAGCGCGTGGAGGAGCTTGTAAGGGGTACAGCGCTGGACGACGGCCTGGCACGGGGTGACTCGCCGTCCGGGAGAGGCAGCGGGAGGAGGGGGGGTGGAAGGGAGAGGGAGATGAGGAGGGGGAGGGGAGGGATGGGGAGTGACAGGGAGAGGAGGAGGGGCGGGAGGGAGGAGGATGATTGGGATGGCGTGGAGAGGTCCGGTAGTGAGGCAGACGGCTGGCACGATGGCGAGGTAAGGCCCCAAACTAAATTCCCTTTTCCAACCAACCCCCTCCCTCCCCTCCCCCTTCCCAACCCCCCTCTCCCCCGCTTTCCCCCTCTCTCCTCCAACCCTCTCTGTCATTCACGCACACACTACATCTCTCCTGTCGTCCTTAAATGCATTCGCTATCCCTCTGTCCTTTTATGGGTGCTCTGTGAAGGGTGCAAGGCGCAGGGTGGGCGGCAGAGGATGGGATGGGACGACAGGGACGGGGCGAGCCCCTACCGTGATGAGAACACGGCATCAGGGGACTCCGACACCCATGGCTCGCGTGCCCCATCTGGACCCCGCCCCATCAAATCTCCTGCATCCTTTCTCCCCCTGTCCTACTCCCCCCGTCTCCCTTCCCTCGTTCCCAGGGTGGAAGGCAGGGTCGCAGGGTGGGAGGGAGAGGGTGGGACGATGGGGACGGGGCGAGCCCCTACCGCGATGACTACACGGCGTCAGGGGACTCCGACACCCATGGCTCGCACGACGTGGCGTTCTATGACGAGGGCGGGGTGGTGGACTCACCGTCGCGCAGGAGCGAGGAGGATCTTGATGAGTGAGTGGGGGATAGTGAGGTAGAGTGCGTGGATGCTCGGGTGAAGGGGGGAGGGCCTTCTTGGCGGGCTAGGGCACTCTCCGACACCCGCGGGTATCACGATGGGGCGTTCTATGATGGAGGGCGGGGTGGTGGATGGTGATTCGTCGTCGCGCAGAAGCGAGAGGGGGATAGTGTGAAGGGTACATGGCTTTTTGGGGGTGTGGGGGGGGGGGGGGAGGAGGGGAGGGTGTGAGTGGATGATATGAAACGGGAGGGGTGAGGGGGTGGGGGAAGTGTGTTACGTGCATGTTCTCACATCTTGAAGTGCCTCATACCCACCCACCATTCAGGACGCTTATACACATTTTTGTCCAACCCGTACCTACCCGGCTACAACATATAATTCTAAAAAATTACTCCTCTGCAACCCGCACCTATCCGGCTACAACATATAATTCTAAAAAATGACTCCTCTGCAACCCGCACCTACCCGGCTGCAACATATCATTCTAAAAAATGAATCCTCTGCAACCCGCACCTACCCGCCAACCACCATCCGTCAACCTCTCAAGGAGAGGCCGTGCGAACCAGCAGTCACCGCGTTTACCTCTGTAAACATTCACACTCCGTCCACCCCACACCCATCCACAACTCAACGCCCTCCCCACCCAGAGATACTTCAGCGAGAGCCGTGTATTGGACAATGACACGTGGGGGTGGAGCGGGGCCGCAGGAGCCAGCAGTCACCTTTGGCCTTTTAGGCATTCACACTCCATCCACCCCACACCTACCCACCCACCACCCACCTCCCACCTCCCACCCGCCCCACCCACAGGTACTTCAGCGAGAGCGACGTATCGGACGATGACACGTGGGCGGAACGGGGCCGCACGAGCCACGGCAGCAGCGGGCCGATGGCCCGGGGGCGGCGCCGCGTGCGCCGGCGCGGGGTGGTGGGACCGGTGAAGGGCGACATGTGGCTGCTGCGCGTGCGGCGGCACATGCTGGAGCCGCACACCCAGGACCCGGTGTTCATGAGTGAGGATATGATCGAGGAGAAGGAAAGAGCTATGGAGGCTCTTGGCAGTACCCCTGCGGTGAGTCTTTGAGTTTTGTGTTTGGGGTGTTGGATTTGCACGCCTGCGGTGAGTTCAACAGACAGGAGTAGGCGCGCGCTGGAGCCGCACACCCATGACCCGGTGTTCGTGAGTGACGACATGATTGAAGAGAAGGAAAGAGCTTTGGAGGTTCTGGGGAGCACCCCTGCGGTGTGTGTTCGAGTCTTGGGTTTTGGGGTGTGGAGGGTTTGTGCCGCACACCCAGGACCCAGTGTTGATGAGTGAGGATGTGATTGAGGAGAAGGAGCGCGCCGTGGAGGCATCGGGAAGCACTTCTGCGGTGAGTTAAACGGAAAGGGAAGAGGCACGAGCATTGAGCCGCGTGCCCAGTCAGGACGTGGGCGTGGGCCACACAGTCAGGACCCGGTGTTGATGAGCGAAGACATGATCAAGGAGAAGAGGCGGGCCATGGAGGCTTTGGGGAGCACCCCTGCGGTGCGTGTTCGAGTCTTGTGTTTGGGGTGTGGAGGGTTTGTGCCACACACCCAGGATCTGGTGTTGATGAGTGAAGAGTCGATTGAGGAGAAGGTGCGCGCCATGGAGGCTTTGGGAGCACCCCTGCGGCGAGAGCTCAAGTGCTTGCTAGGCCCTGGTTGTGGAAAGCATGGCACTTAATTACCACATGTGTATGTGTGTGCGCTCCAACATCTGCCTTTGTCTGCTGGTCTGCGTTCGTCTGCCCATCTGCGTTTGCCTGCTCATCTGTGTGTGCAGGGACGTGAGACTCGAGCTCGCATGCAGAGTGACGTTGTTGCTTCAGGTATGGCTTGTTCTTTTTGCCAGCTTGTGCTCTTTGTGTGAAGCCTGTCCGTGTGATGCCCGTGTGATGGCTGTGTGAAGCCATCAACAGCTGTACCAACACTCGCCCCCATGCCCGCTCTTTCCGTACCTTGTCCGTCCCGCCCTTCCCCTCCATACCCGCCCGCCCTCCCTCCTCTCTTCCCTCCCGCCCGCCCGCCCGCCCGCCCTCTCATCCCTTTCCCGTGCCGCACCCAATCCCCCCCAACCCTCCCCACCTTGCTTGTATTTCCGCTCTCACCTCCCTTGGCCCCATTCATGGCGGCATTCAAGGCAGCCCATCCCGGAGCAGTTCTGGAGGACTTTGTGCGCTGGCCCCAACGGCTGGCTCGTTTCACCCACCCTTCTTTCCGTGCCCCCACACATCCCCCTCTCCCCCCCCTCCCTCGCCCCACACACACCTCCACCTCCCCCCACACACACCTCCCCCCCACACACCCACACACACCCTTCTTCCCCCCAGACATGGCGGCATTCAAAGCAGCCAACCCTGGAGCAGTGCTGGAGGACTTTGTGCGCTGGCACTCGCCCAACGACTGGCTTGAGATCGCAGCCACTGATGATGACTATGATGACGTGGACGATTACGATGACGCGGACGACAGGGGAAGGCGGTTCCGTAGGGACGACAGTGAGACGTACGGGAGGGATGATGATGATGATGGGCGGTACAGGAGGGGCGGGAGGGGCGGTGATGATTCTGGGAGGTATGGGCGGGGGGATAGGTACGGAAGGGAGGAGGATGGTAGGTATGGTAGGGAGGATGAGGACAGGTATGGGAGTGGTCGGGATGACAGGTATGGGGATGAGAGCGGGAGGTACGGTGAGAATGATTACTCGGACAGGGAGTCTGATAGGGAGAGAGAGAGGGGGAGGGAGAGGGAGAGGGAGAGGGAGAGGGAGCGGGAGAGGGAGACTGAGGAGAGTGATGGTGACAGGGATGTGGGTAGGAAGGATGGTGGCAGGGATATGGGAAGGGACAGGGGCAGGGAGAGGGAGAGGGAGGGAGAGGAGGGCAGGGAGTACGGGGATGGTGACAAGTCCAAGAGGGAGGACGAAACTGATTTCGATAAGGATGGTCCAGGAGAGGCAGATCAGAAGAAACAGGAGGATAAGGAGAAGCGGGAAGCAGATGGTGACGGGGAGACAGAAGGGGAGAAAGGTGAGATGGCGAGCAAGAACCAGAAGCAGGAAGGCGGCTCCCCCTCTCCTCACCGCAGCAGCAGCAGCCCCGGGAAGGGTAAGGATGAGGAAGAGGAGGAGTTTTTCGAGGCGGCTCAAGAGGAGAAGCCGGGGGAGGCGGGTGCTGGTGAAGGTGGCGAGAAGGAGGGTGGTGGCGTTGACGAAGGGGCGGATAGGGAGGAGAAGTTGAAAGAGGGAGGGGAGGATGTCGGGGGTGGTGGGGAGGAGGAAGTGGAGGAGCAAGCTGTGAGTGAGAGTGAAGGGGGTGGTCTGAAGGGGAAGCCGAGGGTGGAAGACGAGAGTGAGAAGGCAGTGGAGAAAGAGGACAGGGAGGGGAGGGAGAACAGTGATAGGGAGAGGGAGGGAGGAGACAGCGACAGGGAAAGAGACAGGGGAAGGGAGAGGGAAGAGGGTAGAGAGAGGGCGCGGGCGGGCAGTAGGGATAGGGGGCGAGACGGAGATCGAGTGAGGGAGAGAGAGAGGGAGAGTAGCAGGGGCAGGAGCCCGGACCCGGACAGTGACAGGGAGAGGGAGCGGGCGAGGGAGAGGGGGCGAGAGAGGGGGCGAGAGGAGCGGGAGTACAGCGACGATCGCGAGGAGTGGGACGAGTTGGCCGAGCAGCGCAGAGGCAGGGACAGGCGGGGCGACCGTGATCGTGAAGATGATGATGACTATGAGGAGGACGAGTGGAGGGGCGGCAGGGGGGGGAGGGACGGGCGGAGGGAGGGAGACAGGTATGATGATAGGAGGGATGGCGACCGCGGCGGGCGCAGAGGGGGGAGAGGGAGAGGGGGCGGCAGTGGGAGAGGTGCGGGTGGTGGTGGTGGCGGCAGGCGGCGGCGGGTCAGGGATGACGGGTCGGGGTGGCCGCCGAGGGGGCGGCTGTCGGAGCGCATGGAGGAGATGCACGGCAACCTGTGGCGCGAGCTTTGGGACAGCGCCGAGCCGGAGCCCGCCCACGAGCAGAGGCCCATCTTCCACTTCGACCTGGAAGGGGAGAAGGTGAGGGGAGGGGGAGGGGGGGGCGAGTGAGGAGAAGAGTGTGTGAGGAAAGAGGGGGAAAGGGGGTGATAGAGGGAGGGAGCTGTGGGACAGCGCTGAGCCGGAGCCCGCTCACGAGCAGGGGCCCATCTTCCACTTCGACCTGGAGGGCGAGAAGGTGAGGGGGGAGAGGGAGCGAGTGAGTGAAGGGAACCATGGGGGTAGGGGAAGAGGGGAGATGGGGAGTGGTTGTAGAGAAAAGAGTGGGACAGTGAAGAGCTGGAGCCCGCCCACGAGCAGCGGCCCATCTTCCACTTCGACCTGGAGGGCGAGAAGGTGAAGGGAGGAGGGGGAGGGGGGGGGGAGGAGGGGGGTGTAGTAGGGAAGAGAACAGGAGATTGTTTTCAAGGTTCAGGACATAATGGTCCTGACGAACTCATTTTCAGGTGAGCACTTTCCACATCCCGCCCTGCCATTCTCCCTCCTCAGATCCAGCAACACCTCGTGCCTTCCCCCCCCCACTCCCCCCCTGTAACCCGTCAGATCCTGCAACACCTCGTGCCTTCCCCCTCCCCCCCCCCCCCCCCCCCTCCCCTGCAACCTGTCAGATCCTGCACCACCTGGGCACGGTGGTGCCAGAGGAGCCTGCAGGCCAGCTGCTAGCCCAGTCTTCTCGTCCGCAGTCCGGCTGCTGGCCTCATAAGCCGCCTGAAGCGAACTTCCCAACTGCCCCCCCGCCCCCCTCCTCCCCGGTGCAACCCGTCAGATCCTGCACTGCCTGGACACGGTGGTGCCAGAGGAGCTGCTGGGGCAGCTGCTGGCGACGCCGTGCTGCTGCTGGGGAAGGCACAGGCCTCTTGAAGCGTTAGTCAATGCCCGAACCACCCTCCGTCTCTCCCCCCCCCCCCCCCAAACACCCTCCTGCACACTCTGGACACGGTGATGTTGGAGGAGCTGCTGGGGCAGCTGCTGGCGACGGCCTTCTTGTCAGCCGTGCTGCTGCTGGGAGGGGCGGAGGGCGCAGGCGTCTTGGGGTGCCTAAACCTAAACCTACACCATCAACCTGTACAAATCCCTCCACTCCCCCCCATCCCGCCCATCCCCCCTTTCCCCTGCAGATCCTGCACTACCTGGACACGGTGGTGCCGGAGGAGCTGCGAGGGCAGCTGCTGGCCACGGCGCCTAAACCTACACCATCAACCAATACAACCCGTCCTCTTCCCCCCCCCCACCTCCCCCCCTCCTCCTCCCCCCCTTTCCCCTGTCAGATCCTGCACTATCTCGACACGGTAGTACCTGCGTGAGGAGTCTATTTTTGAGGCGCCTCAAAAATAGACTCCTCCCCCTCCCCCTCCCCCCCCCTTCCCCCTCCCCCTCCCCCTCCCCCCCCCCTGCTCCCCCCCTTTTCCCTGTCAGATCCTGCACTATCTCGACACGGTAGTACCTGAGGAGCTGCTGGGGCAGCTGCTGGCCACGGCCTTCTCGTCCGCCGTGCTGCTGCTGGGGCGGGCGGAGGCGGCGCGGGAGGAGCCGGTGGCTGAGCAGAGGCAGCGCGTGGCGGGCATGGTGGCCTCCATGTGGCAGTGGCTGGATGACCGTGAGTGGTGGGGGGGGGGAGGGGCGGCGGTTGGGATGGGTGTGGTTGGATGTGTGAGTACAGAGAGGGTGCTGTGAGGTACGAGTGGTGAACCGGTGCTGATTGGAGCTGGTGGCAGAGTAGAGGCAGCACTTGGCGAGCATACTGGCATCCATGTGAGTGGTGAACTGGTGCGGAGACAACTGCATTCGCCCGTCGTGGCATAGAGGCGACTGCCATGGGGACGGCCCCTTGTGCTTCCAGTCACCCTTTTCCCCCACCACCCTTCCCACACACCAGGGAGTGCGGGGAGTTGTTCCGACGAGCGCGTGGAGGACCTGGAGGTGCTCTTGAGGGCGTTCACGCGCATGGAGGCCACTGTCATGGGTGGTGGCCTCTTGTCCTTTCAGACACCATACAGTAAACTTCCGAACCCCCCCTTCCTCCCGCCCCCCTCCCCTTCCCTTTTCCCCCTCCCCTTTCCCTACCAGAGAGTGCGGGCAGCTGCTCGGACGAGCGTGTGGAGGACCTGGAGGTGCTGCTGAGAGCCTTTACCCGCATGGAGGCCACTGTCATGGTGGCGGCCTCGCTGTGGAAGAGGCTTCAGGGCTGCTCGCGCCTTGTGGTCAAGCTGCTCACTGAGAGGGCGCTCAACGCCACGGATGTGCCGTCCGTGCGCCTCCTGCCCGCCCCCATTCGGCTGCCGCACCTACCGGTAGGCGCTTGAGGCATCCCAGGAACCGATAGTATGCATGTGGCCCATAAGCAAACCGCATGCATGGGGAAGAGGCTGCAGGGCTGCTCATGCCTCGTGGTCAAGCTGCTCACGGAGAGAGCCCTCAATGCCACGGATGTGCTGCCTGCCCCCATCAGGCTTCCGCATCTGCCTAACCACCCAATTATCCCCCCTCCCCCCCTCTCCCCCCACCTCTTTCCTCAACTCCATTTCCATTCCGCCAATCAAAGGAGCCGGACAGCCGGACGGACGAATGGCGGGTCGTGGGCAAGCTATGGCAGGAGAAGGAACCCTCTGGCAGCAGCAGCAATGACAGCTCTGGCGCCAGCAGTACCACCCCTGGCAGCAGCAGCGGCAGCAGCAGTTCTGGTGCCCCCCCGCTCCCTCCTGCTGCCAGCAAGTCTGCTGCTGGTGGTGGGGGGCGGCGCATGGGGAACCTTCTCTACAGGCATGAGCCGACGGAGCGCGAGGTGATTTTCACGTCGCCGGCGTTTGTGATATTTAACACGGTGGATGAGGAGGATGTGGCGACGGGCACCGTGGCGTCGAGGGACTCGGTGGAGATTGTGAAGCACCAGCTGTATGCCAAGGCCAGCTTGGATGATCTCACTCTTGCGCTCAAGGTTGCTGCACAGGAGTAGAAAATGGAAAGTTGAGCCCGTTAGGGTCTTTTGCTGGAGGACGTGTAGGGTAAATGGACGTATGAGCATTGCGGCAGACAGACACTGTGGCCAAGCTCTCAGGAGATTGCTTTTGAAGTGAAGTCTCACGAATTCTAGTAGAAGCGGTGGATGGTCAGTAGTTCGAAGGACCTCTCACCTCTATGTTTTTTTGTGGTGCTTGTTTAAACACCACGGGAAATATTTTCGTTCTGGGTTTGCTGTGAAAATGCTTCTCACTTTGCTCGTAATCGAATTCGCTACGAACGGGATACCTGCGTCCAGTTGGTGCAACCCAATGAATGAATTGGTCGCGCCAGCGAAGACGAAGAGCCAATAGCAAACGCACCGAGCCGAACCGCTAGCTTCGAAAACGGGCGACCATCACTGTGCGCGCAGTCGTCAGGCGCCTCCTTGCTTGCGCCTGATCCCCTACGCGCAGATCACCGAACCAACGGACAAAATACCCTCCGCTCCGCCCATCACTTCCCACGTTCCAGCAGTTTTCCCGCCGCACTGCTGGACGCGTTGGAATGGTATCTCCCCGCTATGCCCCATCCCAGTCAGCGCCCGCACAGGGTCTGGGCCATCGGGCGGACCACTCCAGCTCCGCAAACAGTGACTCGTCAGAGCAGCTCGGTTCTGACGTGGGCTGGGCTTCCCACCGAACCCAATGGCGCCCTCGACGATCTGCTCTTGAAAAGGCGCGATCATTTGTCCCTCACGCGCACAGGGAGAACCCATCATGGGCCCCAAGGGGTCTTGCGCGGGGGATGCGCTGTCTGCGGAAGGCGACGGGCTCCCTTTGTTGAGCTATTTCCCTGGGTGCTGCTGCGCCATTGCGGAGGACCTTGATGTTGCCGTGTTTTCTTCGACTTCGCGTCTCTTTCCGTCAATCTGTCAGTCCGTCATGCCGTCATTCCGTCAAGTTTCCCCAGACTACCACCCGTGAGCTTGAGTTGAGAGCAGGCGACCGGCAGAAGCGTGCCTGCATTTGACGAGTGCCTGCTGAGATGTGCCTGCTGAGATGTACCGTTGGGAGATTGTGTGTTAGGACGAATGCTATTTCAGATTCTTCTAACCAATAATCGCCAATAATCGCCAGTAATCTCCAATAACCGCCAGCCTATTCGTACCATCGTCCCTTAAGACAAGAAATTCCTGAGTACACGGTTAGCGTCCCGTATCGTAGACGCGTGCGTCTCTAGAGTCTCGTGTGTGCAGGGAACGAACTTCATGAGCGAATTCTGCTTCCGTGGTTCTAGTCAGGAATTTGCCACTTTCCTTGTAGATTCGTTCGTCGTAATCTTGGTCCAGTAAGGTAGTACCTCTTAAATTTCGCCTTCCTGGTTCGGTCCCTGTCGCAGCAATTACTATCACCTACATAAACTACAAAATCCATCATTAATGGTGGACCCTGACGAAGCGAACCCGCTCAATAGTGGCAGCAGGAGTGGCAGCAGTAGTGGCAGCGGTAGTAGCAGTGGTAGCCATGGCACCAGAAATCTGCCTGTTCCATCTAACCTGGGTCGGCCCAGGATCACAACCCCTGGGATTCCCATCACTTCTTCTCAGCAAAACGCTACCAGCAATCACTTGACGTTTTTCGGGTCTAGGTTCTCCCCCATCGATGCCTTATCGAGAATCCTCCGCGCAACCAGCACCGACGTCCCCAGCGCCACCGGCAGACGCGGTAACCAAGCACCCGAACGAGCCAATCAGGAACGCCATCAGCTGCTTCCGCAATGGCTATCCGACGGTCATCCTGGCCGTCAGCAGCAGCAGCCGCGTCAGCAATATCAACGACAGCAGACGCACGAGAATGGTCAGCTGTCAGACACTCCGGACTCCGAGAACGAGGAGCAGGATTTTTTCCACCGGGTAGTCGACGTCTCGGGATCTCCGCCGTTATCCGCGCTTAGCCTCGGTCTCTCCTCCGCGTTTTTCGGCTCAGATCCCCCCGTTGCCCCTGCTCGCCGGAACCCGGGCCAGTCCCCTCTTCTCGCCAGCCAATCCGCTACAAGCAGTCGATCCGATATAAGCAGCAGATCCCCGCTCGTCCTGTCGGATTCCGGTTCAGGAAATGCCGGACAGGAGCCGCCGAGTGTAACGCGGTTGCGCTCCCCGCACTTGCCGCCGCTGCCGCCGCCAGCGCTAGACCCTGTCGCGCGAGAGCGCGCCGAGCGTTCCTCGTCTGCTTTTGAGTCGATTCAAACACTAGCCCCTGTCACGCGACAGCGCGCCGAGCGCTCTTCGTCTTCAGCGGGTCCGGAAGCCTTTGACGATGGACTCGCGGAAAGACGAGGGGAAGCGGTAGAGCGCGGGGAAGCTTGCGGGGAAGCAGAAGGGGGAGGGGGAAAGGGAGGGGAAAGACCACGGGGACATTCCGCGGAGGTGTCTTCCGCAAGCGGAGATTCCGTGTCAAGCTACCGCCCGTACGAGACTCCCCCACCCATTCAACGACGCCCGTACGACGCCCACGTGGCGATTGCTTCAACCAATGGCGAGCTGTTCGCCCTCCGGAGTCTCACCTCCCCCCCGACTCCCTCCCAGATGCTCTCCGCCGCTTCCCCCGCCGCCCCTGCCGCTGGGCTCCCGTCCCCCCCTTCGCTATTGTCACTACCGGGAAGCGTGACAGAGGGAGGCGAGAGGCAAGAGGGCAGGGGAGGGGGAGAGGTACGGGTGGATATGGATAGAGCGAGGGAGGGGAGACGGGGAGATAGCGGGGAGGCGCAAGGGGGCGTCGGGCAAGGGGCTATATTGCAACGGTGGAGAGAGGGGATGACTGGTGGCGAAGCGGCCTGTTCTGCTGACTTACCGCCAGAAGCAGCAACGGGAGCAGGAGCAGGAACAGGAGCCGCAGCAACAGAGGCGGAAGGCACAGCATCAGGAGTAACAGGTGCAGGAGCAGCAGCGGCAGGCGCAGCAGCTGCAGGCGCAGCAGCACCAGCGGCAGCGGCAGTAGAGTCAGCAGCAGAGGCAGCTAGTGACGCAGCGGGGGAAGCAGCAGCCATGGCGATCATCGGCGCAGGAGGGGGGGGCGAGCAGTGCGACCAGCCACGGCAGCGGAGGGAGGGCCGCATGCAGGCTCAGGTTCCCCTGCTGCCGCCAATGGTGCTGATGGTGCTGATGGTGGTGATGGTGGTGGTGCTGGTGAAGGGGGGAGAGGAGGGGGAGGGGGAGGGACGGTGACGCGGGGGTCGGACATGCACCTGGCGGCGAGGAGTCTGGAGCAGGCTGTGCCGTTCGTGTTCCTGCTGCTCTTCGTGCAAGTCAGACAGCACCTCGTCGGTGAGTGACGACGCAGGCAGCACGTGACGGTGAGGCAGGCAGCACGTGATGGTGAGGCAGGCAGCACCTCGTCGGTGAGCTGGGAGTGAGGTTGCACCCGGTGGTTGGTGAGTCAGGCAGCACCTGATCGGTGAGTCAGACAGCGCCTGATCGGTGAGTTGGGAGGCAGGACACAGCAATGCTACAGAAGCTCAGGCTTGGTGCAATGAGTTCGAAACGAAGCAAGGGGACAAGCAGCAACAGCCTCCGCACTTATACATGCCTCGCCTTGTGTGTCTCCTTACGCTTATGTGTGTCCTTGCGCTTATGTGTGTCCTTGCGCTCATGTGTGTCCTTGCGCTCATGTGTGTCCTTGCGCTCATGTGTCTCCTTGCGCTCATGTGTGTCCTTGCGCTCATGTGTGTCCTTGCGCTCATGTGTCTCCTTACGCTCATGTGTCTCCTTGCGTTCATATACACTTGTCCGCCTCCCTTCCACAGGTTTCTGCACGGTCGTGTGGCTCACCGCGGCCCTGTTCAAATCCAACGACTTCATCCGCAAGCAGGGCGCGCTCAAGGTAGGCGCCACCCCCTTCGCTATAAGCACCATGCTGCAGCCCCTCTCGTCGTGTACCCTCCCCCACACGACTTGCCTTGCCCGCCTCTGTTGCCCCTCACTAACCCAATCACCCCCCTATTACCATCCCTACCCGTGACCCGTCCACTCCGATAGGCGTCCTGCCAACACATCCCCTTCCCCTTCCTCTTCCCCTTCCCCTTCCCCTTCCCCTTCACTCCCCGCAACACCCTCCCTTCCCCCCTTCCGCCTCCCCATCACTGCCCCAATACCCTTCCCCTTCCCCTTCCCCTTCCCCTTCCCCTTCCCCTTCCCCTTCCCCTTCCCCTTCCGCTTCAATTTACTGCTAGGCGGAACGCAATCCTGTCTTGCTGGCGCTCGCCGCTGTGCTGCTGCTTGCACACGTGGCAGTTGTCAATTGGCTCTTCTGGCCCGAGCAGCTATGGAGGCCGCTTTTGCTCATCCCTCCTGCTGAGGTCCCCCCTTTCTGGCACGCGCTCTTCATTATAGTCACAAATGGTACGTGTGGGAGATCTGCACGTTTTTTTACATTTTGATCCATAGAAGGTTTAGGCAAATAAAAAAATGCATTCAATCATGTAGTCAACAATAGCATGTCTGAAAACCTTATGAAAGGTTTTCACTGGTAACATGATTGATGACTAGTAAAAATGTGTTACTAATGGATCTGTGTGCAGAACCACTTCCCCTATTTCCCCCATAAATTCTCCCCTCTCCTTTTGCCCCATCCTCTTTAACGGCTCCAGATTCTTCCTGTACCTGGCTGCCTACATTCCCTCACACACTCACACATGTTGGTATAAATCCGTGGCGTTGTTTTCTAGTGAGACAACTCCGCAACTCACGACCACTTTGTCGCCACATCCTAACCCACTACATGGCAATGTCCATTCTGCCAACTCTATCTACCCTCTTCTCCCCCTCCCCCCCCCTCTGCGTGAGGAGTCTATTTTGAGGCGCCTCAAAAATAGACTCCTCACTCATGGCAACGCCCATTCTGCCAACTCTACTTAACCTCTTCTCCCCCCCCCTCCCCCCCCCCCCCCCCCCCCCCCCCCCCCCCTCTGCTTCCTCCCCGCTCTCTTCCCCTCTCCCCTCCACTCCTTCAACTTCTTTTCACCAGACATCCTCGTTCGCTTCATGGCAATGGCAGTCAAGTGCGCCATTCTCATTGCGCACCGCCACAGCAAGGGACTCAACAACCGCCAGCAGGTAGCAAGGGCTTCTCAAGTAGCTAGTGACCACTGTTGAAATCCAGTATGAGCGACTAGGCCGAGAGACACTCTTGGCAGACCGTGGCTTTGGTACTAATCGGCGGGTGATGGTGCACGCACCAATCCATGCCACAATCCGTTTCCGACCAATCGATCACTATGTAGCCCTACCTCTCTAGGCACAGTTGTAGGCACAGAGTCAGAGCTCTGGCGGTTAGAGTCAGGGCTCTGGCGGTCAGAATCAGGGCTCTGGCGGTCAGAATCGGGGCTCTGGCGGTCAGAGGCAGGGTACAGGCATGGCAAGGGTACACGCATACAGGTGAGTCCTAGCAGCCCGGCCTGGAGGACCCTAAGGGTTTAGGGCCCTCTCCCCTCCCACCCACCCTCTCCCCATGTCACGTCAGGCCCAAATACTGACGTTAATCGAGTACACCTCGCTGATCTACTGAGCCACGTGCCCGCGCCCGTGTTCCTTCCTCAACGAGGAGGCGTATGGCCGCCCCCCAACACCGCCCCCACCCCCCGCCCGTCCCCGTTTCACACCCCAGGCTCAAATCCTAACCGTCATACAATCCCCCCAACCACTCCCTTTTCCCCCCTCCCCTCTCCCCATATCACACCCCCAGGCTCAAATCCTAACCCTCAGAGTCCCCCCAACCACTCCCTTTTCCCCCATCCCCTTTCCCCATATCACACCCCAGGCTCAAATCCTAACCCTCAGAGTCCCCCCAACCACTCCCTTTTTCCCCCTCCCTTTCCCCATATCACACCCCAGGCTCAAATCCTAACCCTCAAAGTCCCCCCAACCACTCCCTTTCCCCCCCTCCCCTCTCCCCGTACCACACCCCAGGCTCAAGTTCTAACCCTCATAGAGTACACCTCTTTGCTCTACCGCGCCTTCGTCCCGGCGCCCGTGTGGTACCGCTTCTTCCTCAACGACGAGGCGTATGGCCGCTTACCGCGTCCCTCACTGCCGGGCTCTACCTCACCTTCAAGCTCTCCACTGCACTCGACAGGTATGCCCACCTCCCTTGATTGGGTATGCCCACCTCCCTTGATTGGGTATGCCCACCTCCCTTGATTGGGTATGCCCACCTCCCTTGATTGGGTATACCCACCTCCCTTGATTGGGTATGCCCACCTCCTCGATTGGATATGCTCTTGCACGGAATGTGATATTTTGAGGGCATTGAGACTCACTGCGTCCCTCACTGCGGGCTCTACCTCACCTTTAAGCTCTCCACCTCGCTGATGTCGACTTGGTAGGGCATGCTGACGTCACTTTGGTAGTACGTACTGATGTCCCTTGGCAGGGCTTGTTCTTGCTCAACTGTAGTTGCTATGATGGTTCGGTCATTGATCAGTCATTGAGAAATTTCAGAAACCCAGCTCCCCACTTGTCCTCTCCGCCTCTGCCCCTCTCTCCGCTTGTTCCCCAGGTGCTTCTCTTTGTGTCGGCTGTCCCGGCAAGCGGTGGGGAAGGGGGAGCAGTACGGCACAGAAGCCACACCCGAAGAGGTACGCTATGGGACGTATTAGGACGGTGAAGTGCTGTGAAGTGGCACCGGCCATGAAAGAATTAAGGACAGTGCTTGTTAGGCCACTAATAACGGGCAGTGGGAAAAGCTGAGTCGTGCGGTATGTGCCAGAAGGTACGCGCAAGCAGCAGACATATCAAGCGTTGTTGTGGAGTATGGTACAGAGCCCATACTTGAACTGTGTATGGCCAAGCATGTATGCTCCCTTGGAATTTCGTAGACTTGCAGAATCATACTCTTTGGGGTGCATGGGTTCTATATTCAGACTCTCTTCGCCCATGAGGTGCATCACTCTGAGTTTTATTGTGTCAATTGGACATAATAAACTCCCAGCCACCCCTTTTTTGTCATGTTCCTGCCACCAGGAGAAGTCAAACCTGAGGTGCCCTAACAATCTCCGTATTCTGATACGCTCACTCCTCTCCCTCATCCACTTACCTCTCGTTTTCCTTCTCATCCCCCATCAGGTGGCAGCAGCAGAGGCAGCACGTGCACCATATGCCAGGACCACACCACCCGGCCTGTTATGCTCCATGTGAAGCAGCTCAAAAGCACAACCTTTCTTTCTCTCCCTCCTCCCCTCCCCTCCTCCCCATTCAACGCCAGGTGGCAGCAGCCAGCAGCATGTGCGCCATATACCAGGAGCTCATGACTGGCGCATATGAAGCAACTCAAAAGCACGCCCTATCTCCCCTCTCCCCCCACCCCACCCTCCCCCTCCCTCCCCCTCCCTCCCCCCCCCCCCCCACCCACCTTCAACACCAGGTGGCGGCAGCAGGCAGCATGTGCGCCATATGCCAGGAGCACATGACCGGGCCTGTCACACTGCGATGCCGCCACGTCTTCTGCGACGAATGCGTCTCCGAATGGTATGCTGTCCCTCGTACATCCTTCACACCTTGAGATGTACATTAATCGAATGATCCATGGCTTTTTGCATGGTAGCTTGTTTATAGGGTCAATACATCCTCCCTGAGTGTGGCTGACTGGCTTACTCTCACTGATCACTCCTCCCATGGTCAATGCATCTATGCCGGTTGATTGCCATCTGCTACCATGCATATGCCTGTGGCAGGTTTGAGAGGGAGCGCACGTGTCCGCTGTGCCGCATGGTGGTGAAGCCAGCAGGGCTGCGCTCCTTCAGTGACGCCAACACCAGTCTGCTTGCGCAGCTGTTCTGATTACTGCTTGCCATTAGATTGGATCGGATGAGCTTCCAGGACTCTGCGCAACACGTGGTGTGGCTGGCAGCGCAAGCCGCACCATCAGCTCAGCAAGCTGCGCAACATCCTAGTCTTGACCGATAGACACTGTTTTAGAAGTACTAGGTCACCAAGGGAAGCTTATCGGCTAGCAGATTCTGATTGCTGCATCCCCACCACACCAACAAGTGTTCTCCTCTTCTCACAAAAGCTAACTCATTTATGCAACCTCAGCCGACACAAACATTGCACAGAACTATTTGCAACCCTCACATACAATCTCCACATCTCCCTAGATTTTCCAGTCCCAACAGTGGATAAAGTGCACTGGACCACCCGCACTGACTCGGTCAACCGTCCCTGTCATCTAGTCCTCCCTGGCAGGTCTGCCTACCCCACCTGCCCCTCCACTGCCAGCTGGGCCCCTGCAGAGCGAACGGGAAACAAAAGACATACTAAGTGAAGAGATGCATCATATCGCACATATCTCACTAACATACTGGTAGCCCAACCCACCAAGCAGCATCCAAAGCTAGTGTTTAAACTTGTGCTGGAGTCTGAGAGGAGGCCTGCTAGGAGGAAGCAGGTGCAGAGAAAGCAAGCACATACCTGGAAGGTGGGCCGCGGGGCGGGGAGCGCGCACGGCCGCGGGGAGAGGGCGAGCGGCTGTAGCTGCGGTCGTCATTGGAGCAGCTGGGGGACCTGGAGGGTTGCATGGAAAGGTGATTCAAGAAAAAGGGGTGGAATGAAGGCATGCAGTGACACAGCCGATATGTGAGAGGGCGAGCGGCTCTAAGGACAAGAGAGGGCGAGCGGATGTAGCTGCAGTCGTCATTGGAGTAGCTGGGGGACCTGGAGGGTTGCATGGAGGGGAGGGGAAGGAGGGTCCTGCCAGCCTTCTCAAGGCCAGTGGAGTGGAGGATGTTCAGGAAGAAGCAGCAGGTAGCATGGCGCATAAGACATGAGTCACATGCCCTGCCCAGCAAGCATAAGGTCTGCCCTTATCAAGCATAAGGTCTGCCTTATTCAAGCAATTTTAACCTGACAAAAGAAGAAGCAGCGTAAGGTAGTAATGGGCATGTGCAGAAAAGGGGAGGATGGGGGAGAAAACGAGACGGTTGCAAGGAAGAGGTGAGAGAAGGGGGCGGAATCTACCTGCGGGGAGGGCCGCTGCGGCGGGGGGAGGAGAGCGAGAGCGACGGCGGGAGGAGGCGAGTACGAGGAGCGACGACCGGGGAGGCGAGCGAGAACGCGACCGCGCTGAGGGGGGGGGGGGGGGGACACACGGGAATCGGAATCAGGGGGAAGGTGACGTCACAGAGAGAGGGGGGGATGAATATAGCAGGGAGGGAAGGGGGGTTGGAAGTGGGGGAGGAGGGGTGAGAGGAGGGGGGAGGTGGAATGGGAAGGGGGCGGGGGAGGCAGAGGGCGGAGGTTGGCCATGCTACAGAAAACGAAGAGCGAAAGTATTTTGGGTCTTAAGAGCGTGATGGTTGAGCATGCTAGGAAAAACGAAGGAGCGGAACTAGTCCAAGGCAATGACTTCGCTGACTATAGGACTACCCAACAGCAATACTCCACAATAGCCCCCGACGTCTTCCGTATGATGGCCGGTCCCGGTCGCTGGGAACAACAATAGCAGACCACGCATATACACGCACCCACACATACACACGTGCACACATAAGCACGCCGAGACATATGGATACACAAAAAAAAAAAACATTAATTTTGGGGGATGGCATGGGGCGCACACAAACCAGTCGCCTAGCTGCGTATAAGACGACATCAACGAATTTAGAGCAATCTCACCTGCAACGCTCTCTGGCGCGCATCTCACATGCACCGCTCTCTGATCTCACCAGCACCGCTGTCTGGGGCGCATCTCACCTGTACCGCTCGCGCGTGCGCATCTCGTCGGGCTTCTTGCGATTCTCCTCCGCGAAAACCACCGTGATCTCCCGGCCGTTGAAGTTGGTGCGGTCCAGCTCGTACTGCGCGTCCTCCGCGTCCGCCATGTTCACGAACTGGTAACCGGTAGCGAAAACACGACCACGAACAGACACAACATTAAATTCAGTTCCTGATTAAACATAACAAGAATAAAGATAGCAAATTAATTTATTAAGGCGATAAGGCGGGGCCTGGTAAGCAGAATACCTGCACAAATCCGAAGCCTCGTGGTTCCCTGCGACAGTCACGACAAACGAGAGGAGAGAACGCAAGCAGAAGCTCGTCAGCAGCTTGTATGAAGGAGTCAGCGCAAGTAAAAAAATGTTGCAGAGTAGTACATGGTAAGAACGAGGGATAGTGAAGGAAGGGAGAGAGAGGGAGAAGGCTGCTAAGGAAAAGAGGAGAAAAAAGAAAGAAACGAGGAACACGAGAGGCGAGTGTGACAATGAACATCCCACCACCAACCTGCCATGTCAAATCGTGACATGCAACCTGCCTCTGACGTCCTTGATTCACGCCTCAACCGCCATGAACCGCCATGAACCGAACGCATCGACCCTGCATGGCTTGGCCCTTCGTGTCACTTCGCTTGTGCAAGCCTCTCCTCTCTTCGATTGCCCTTCTAGGTTTCGCTTCAAATCAGCAAGAATTAATTCCTGGTAACTCCGTAACTTCGCTTGGCTTGGCTTGGCTTCGCTTGGCTTCGCTTCAAGCTCATCTTTCCAGCCTTGCGAACTTCTGAGACTTGAAAGCTTGACCAAATAACAATTTGCCTCTTCCCTTCCCTGCCGTAATTCCCAAAAACCCGCAAAAGCTTAAAATTGAGCGGCGTGGCAAGCAGCATAAGCTTTCTCAGGAGGTTTGGGCACACAGAGAACCATACAAAACAAAGCAAGAGAGCATACCAATCGCACAGGTCGATCGGTCCAATTAAGAGACATGGACATATTAACACACCCTGTATGGGTAGTCCTTCGGAAGGTAGACATCCTTAATCGGTCCGTAGCGCTCAAAAGGCACGCGCAGATCCTCTGGCCTGAAACAAAAAACACCACTAATGTAAAAGCTTGACATAACGCGATGCATTGTAATTAATCGCTATCGCTCATCGCAGGCAAAAAAGTTCCACGTCGAAGCGCACCATGCAAGGGACATGGAAAACGAGCTTCAAGCGAGCACGAAACCTAGTCAGTTGCGAGCTTATCCGGTGAAGGTTGAATGATCACCTGGTATCTCTCGGAATGTTCCTGAACGAGCAGGCTGACGCGCTCTTTCCGCGGCGGCGGTCCCCGTCTGTACGGCGGCGGGCTGCGGCTCCTGTCTCTGTCCGGCGGGGGACCTCGCCCGCCGGGCCCTCGACCGCGGCTCCGGGCTGTAACCCCGCTCGGGACTGTATGGCCGCGACATGGCTACTTGGTGTTCGAATCGAAGGCTCGTTAGCGGGACAAGCAACTAGACAGTCCCTAGGACGACACTGTTCCCTAGATAGAAACCCTAGCTTTTAGAGAACTACGATTGTGGGTGCGGCGGAGGTGGGATGAAAAGAGGCAAGGTGGATGGATCTGAAAATTGAAATGTGGTTCTGGTTAGGCTGCTGCTTCAGGCGGCGGCTCGCGAAGTAACGAAAACTGTTGTAACGTAACGTAGTCTTTGCACAATTTCAACCTGTATGTTCAAATATTCAAATTCAGCCGCAGCTGTTACAGTTTGCACGTTTGTCGCTACATCGTCGTCAGATCTTTCGCAACTAGGTGCGCTTTCGTTTCAAATCCGCCTGAGCTACTTCCTCAGCGTCATGCGAACTCACGGCATCGGGCGAATTGCGCGAACGACGAAGCCCATTCGCAGACGACGACCGCGAAGAGCGCAGCTCGCTTTCGCATCCTGGTTCGCTAAGCGCTGGGGCATTCCGAGTCGCATGCACGTCTCCTTCAGCAACGCGTAATTTGTCACGATGAGGCGAAATGACCCTCCCCTCGTGCTCCACGTTCCTTGCAAATTCCACATTCACTCGCTCCCTGGCTATCTCCCACATAACATTCCCCCCTCCAACTCCCACACCCACCTGCTCCATATCCTCCCGCGTTTCACCACCAAGAGCACCTGAACCTGTAGGTTTCCCAGCGCCTCTATCCGCATCTCCTCCTCTATCCGCATCTCCTCCTGCCCCCCTTCCGCGCTCTTGCCTTCCTCCCAAGCCACCGGCAGGAGCAACTCCACTCGGTGAGTTCCGCGCCTTCTCCCGCTCTACGCTCCTGTAATACCTCGGAACGAGCAGCGGAAGGCACTCGTTGCACCCGTGCACTCGCAGTCCGATCGTCGCCCCCCCGAGCCCTGAGGCCCCACGTGTTCCGGTAACCCTCTAGCCCCTGTCGTGTTCTGCTCGCTTAGCTCCGCGCCGCACACCAGACATCGCAGCCCATCCCACGGCGCGGCCGGTCGCGGGAAAAATCCAGGAAAGCCGTCGACTTTCACGCGAGCTGTAGCAACATTCGCAGGCTTCCAAACCGGCAGTTGTCCCGCCAAGAGCTCCGGCCACGCCCCAGTCTCGCTAAAATCCCCGCCGAAGCCTCGTAATGGGTCAGGATATCGTAGGTTCGTTTCACCCGAGAGCCTGCTAGACATACTAGTAAGGGCTACTGCCGACTGCAGCGGGCTCGATAAGCTTCCTGCCCGGTCGACCATGGTGGGAGCGAGTGCTGCGTCTGCCGGGATCCTGAACGCAGGTAGCAGTGCTGCAGTGTTGCCCCCACTGGCTCCGATACAAGCAGTTCCGACAGCAGAGCTGACGTTGAGCTGAACACCTGGTAGTATTCCTGCTGCTGCTGCTGGTGCTGCTGCTGCTGCTGCTGGCCCAACTTGTGACGATGACGAAGACCCGGCATAGAGGGTTCGGAGCTGCGCCATGGTGTGCTGGAGATTATCACCTTGGAGCTGCTCGGAAGTCCAGCGCACCGTTACCACCATGCCACTGCCGCAGAGGGCCTCCGCCTTCGGCGCCCGAGGCTGCGGCTGCTTGAAGGTTCCCGGTGGGGACTTGGTAGTGGCAGCGCTGGCGGGCGTCCGCGGCTGAGCGGCGAGGGGCTCGTTGCCATTTACCCACCTCGCCGCCTCCTGCGTTGCCACTGCTATATCCTGAGCGAATCCGTGCTGCGGTGATGCGTGCGGCGGCAATGGATGCTGAGGCATTGCGTGCTGCTGCGGGCGTGCTTCCCCTGACTGAGCTCCCGGGACTTCCCAGCCACGACCGCTGGCAGCTACGGCCGTCTCGTGAGCCCCCCTGCGAGCGCACCCTGCAAGAGCGAGTCCGCTTCCCGCGCGCCCGCCGCGAACAGCATGCTGCAGATGTCCCGCAGCTCCTGCTCCTCCGCTTCCCGCGCTGCCTCCGCCTGCTCGCTAACTACCACCCCGGTGTTCTCCCAAGGGGACTCCGGACCGGCGGACTCAGTGGGGTTGCAGCTGGTCGGGTCTGTTTGCGGCGACAGCGCGAGGATCCCTAGGGGCGTGAGCATCACCGTCGACTGCGCCCATGCTCCGCTCGCCTCCAGTGTCGGAGGACACGGCGTCTCGTGTAGTGCCCAATGTAGTACCCGCGATTTCAAGGGCCGTAGTCCAGGATATATATTCGCCGTTCTGTGTGTGGTAAGCTCGCGTCAACTTGTAGGCTCGTTGCCGCCGCCGCCACCGCTGCCGCCGCTGCTGCCGCGCTTGCTGCGGGAAAGAACGTCTTTCGGGGAGCAGTGACTGGGACATTTGGCTCGTCGTGGGCAGCAGCAGGGCGGTCCTGGGTTTTGGTGCTGGGATACAAGCTGCGGTGGTGTCGCGAGAGAGCCTGGCCGCGCGTGCTTTGCGGATTTCAGCTAGCAAGTACTGTCGATAGGGTCGTCCTGCTGAGACGGCCTTTGCCGCTGTTGTTGCTGCTGCTGCTGGTGTGCGGGATAGCTGGTACTAGCCAAGTCGCAGCGGGGTCATGCGGCCCACCGTTGCCAGGAAACAACCCTCTCGTGCCACCATGGCTCGGCGCGCTGCCCCACGCTCCTCGCTTCTTGTCAGCAGGCTGCTCGTCGGCGCGCTGCCCCAGCCGCTCGGGCGGCGCCCCTTGCGCCCCTTGCGCCCTTGCGCCCCTTGCGCCCTTGCGCCCGCAATCGGCGTCGTCAAGCAGCAGCGCTTTCAGCTGCTCCACCTCCTCGGCACACAGCCGCCACATGGCGCTTTCAGTGACATCCGTCCCTCGCGCCACTCGAAGCTCGAGTGAGTCCGACTCGCCGGGGTACGCAGGAGACGGACTTAGGGCAGCGCCGATCACGGCGGGGAATCCGGTGCTGGCCGTGCTGACGCTGCTGGCGGGAGAGAGAGATGGGCGGCTGGATTGGGACATTGATGCGGAGGCTGCGTCGGGCGAACGCGGGGCGAGCAATAACGAGGATGGGCGTGGGTGCGGTGGCGAAAAGCGGGTGGTGGTTTGTTGGGTTGGCGATATGGACGCGTAGGCATTGCCGGCGCTGAAGGGAGTTTGCCGCAGTGCGAGTGGTGACACCAGCGAGATGTCTGTCGCTGCACCTGTGACGGCGCCGGTAGCAAGGACGGTTGCTGGCGTAGGACGCTGGGAGTCTCGCAAAGCTGTGGCTGGGGTGTGACTTGGGATGGCTGCCTCCGCGAGAGCCATAGCAGCAATGGTAAGCCGCACCAGCAGTGAAGACGCCGTCGGTAGTAGTCGCAGTGACGGGAGGTGCCGGCGATGGGGTAAGTTGCGGGAAGAATGATGCTGGTACGATGGACGTCATTTCCGCCATTTGAAGCAGAATACGGAGTCAAAGCCGCGGCGTGATGCCGTGTCAGTGGCGACGCCGCGTTTCTTGTGCTGGATGCAGCCGTTGTTGCGGCGGGAGATGCAGCGTTGCTGGGGGGAATGACGGAAGTCGCCGTCCTGGAAACTATGCCTCCGCGGAAGACGGTTCAGTTGGTCAAGCCGACCCGTCGCGGCTGATGCGGCGGCGGTTGCGGCGGCGGTTGCGGCGTCGATAGCGCTAGCCTCTCTGACTGCTAGCGCGCGTTAGGCAGTGACGCGCGGAGTGCTGGCTATTGCTAGCAGTATTACCTCTCGAAACAATCGAGGCAAGGGCAAGGGCCGCGCCATTGTCAACAGCGTCGCGATTGAGAGCGCCGTGATCAAAATCGACGTGACTGAAAGCGTTAAACGCGCGACGTCGCATCGCCTCAAGCACAAGCGCCTGACGGAGTCCGTCTGTAAGCCGCGCCGAGCCCTGCAGCATTAGCTGGGAAGCAGCGGATTGACTCATTGCCACTGCCACTGTGTCCGACTCGGAACGGTAACGGCCCGTTGCAGTGGAGCGTTGCCAACGCCAGAGCAGTTCGCGGCGGGATATGCCGCAGCATGATGGCTATTCGGAGAGCCTGGGCCTCGCCATGATTTCCGCAGCCACAGCGAGCCGCTGAAGCTACCAATAACTCATTACTGGCGACGCGCTACAACTAGATTCCCCAGACTCTGCCTATAGCCGTCACGGTACGTTTTTCTTCCCTCTGTCTCGTCGCGGACGGGAGCTGCGTCGCTGGAAAGAAGAACGGCTCCTTGTGTGGAGATTGCGACATTGAAACGCAGGTCAGAGGGGCGCCGGTTGGCAGTTTTTCGAACTGAGTAGTCTTACTCTGGCGTTCGAGAAGGGCTTCGGAGCGGTTTCAAGACATGCGTTATTCTGTGATTGAAATGGCGCTGGCTGGGTGAATCTGCTGATTCGTAAGCTAATCTGCATTGTGCTTCTATTAGACAACGGAAGGAGTGGCGAAATCCAAATCCAATGTGTGAACTCAACTTTAGCCAGGGATGCGCGCACAACATCCGTAAACGGCCCGCAAATTCAGTTGCTTTTGGTCTGCTTGCTTCACTGCTTCATTACAGTATCACCTCGTCTTCATGAACCTCTCAGATGTTTTGGTCTTCATCAACTCAGGCGTGTCGCCAGAAGTCAGGTGAAGTAGGTGTTTCCACGTTCTAGAGCATTTTAAAAACCCCTGAGAGCGGTTGAGTATGCATTCTGCGGTGACGAACTCTTTGACACTCCGTGAGGCGGAAATAATTCTGTGCAGCTGGCTGAGAAAGATGCGAAATCTATACAACTGCGCAATGTGCCCAGTCCAGCTGTACATTACGAAGTTATGATTGGTGAATGGTGTTTGCCCTGCCCACTCAATTCGCAACGTGGACACCTGGTTCAGAAGCGCATGTGACACCCTCCAACATCCACAGAGCACACATTCACTGACGGGACTCTCTCACACTGCACTCCCTTATGTTTGGACGGGCTTTTAGCGGTCTTCATTTGGACTGCTACCTCTTGAACAGGATAATCAGGTGTAAATACACCGTTAGTCCAGTGAACCGCTCATTCATTAGACGTTACGTGTATATCTACAGGCCCATTGGTCCGAACACACGGGCAACGGCCCAACCCACAGAGTCCCACAGATCTCCAACAGTGACCACATCTGATTCCAAGACCTCCAAACGGGCAGACGGGACGTTCTGAGCCTTACACTGTTGCCCGAGGAATGCAGAAGAAACAACAAGGTCACCCGCTTTAGATTGAAAAATGCCAAATAGGTAACCAGACGACTATATACATCTCATATGCTATTAGAATACGCAACGATTCCACAGCTGCAATTTATCCATATGCGCACACCCTTGTACTCAATAAGAAGTGAAACTAGCCAATTAGAATACACACCACGCACGATAAAGTTAACGGTCGCAACCAACTGCGTTAACCCTCAGCTACATTCTAGCTCATGCATTGGCCGCGACCAATTGCAATTGCGTCGTGAGAGGGAATCTAACAATCGCCACTTGGTGCCCTTGAAATCCCCTATAGACGTGGCATGCATTCCTTCTGCCAATCATTAAGCTCCATGGCGACTGACGAAATCCGATGGAGCAGTCAGGCGACCTCCGTCAGCATAACCCAATCGGAGCACGCCATCCAGATGCGATGGAGCTAGCCCCGTAATCTATCCTTAGGAGAAATGTTGCTCGTGGGTGTATTTACCGTCATCGAGTCGCTTTCACGGTGGCCCAGAAAATTGCCATCTGTGAGTACGCGAACAAAAATTCTACATTGCGCCTGAGCGACCTCACCAACAGGTGCCGCACAAGATACGGCCTATGGCCCAACCGTAGCACTCCTAGCCGAATCATTAAGGATAAGGTACGCTGGAAGGTGTTTGACCTAGAGAGCTCCAAGTTCAAAAGGCTGAAGAATGCATTATGACCAACACTCAAGGACCGTCTCAGAACTTCGCTACGCAACGCGAATCGCGCAGGCCTCCTGATAACTACCGCTCTGATTCAGCAGCAAGCTCCCGCGTTCGCCCCAGATTGCGGCGTGCCGTTCGATTTCAAAGCCAGTGTCGGATGGGTGCAAGTGGCATTGCATCAAATGGGCTTTAGTGGCGGAAATGTCAGGGGAAGCTAAATCTTCAGATGCCGTGCTGCGCTTTTCGCCAAGCTGCACTTTCCCTGCTTATGTAATACGCTTCGCATACGCCCTAAGAATCTGCTCGATTTCGATGAGACCGCGTTTACTGGGCGATGTTGCCCGAGCATACATTCTGCGACGAGGCGACCCCAGGCACCAAGACTCAGAAGGAGCGGCTCACAGTGGCGCTCCTTATGAATGCGCACGGGTCCATGATTTACAAACCGCTCATAAATCACCGTTATGAGCGGCCGCTGCCTTGCACGCGAGAATTTCAATTCGGCGAGGTTTTGCCATTGGCGGGCCAACGCCAATGGCTGGATGACGGTACCGGTACATCAAGAAGAGTGGTTTTGTTCGCAGCTGTGAATGATTGCTCTCGGTTTTATTAATCCCATGTTCAATCACTCACCACCAACTCCACCTCGCTTGCGCGCGCATGTATTCTCGGCTATTTTCGAGAACGTCAACGCGTGCTGCATGGTGGAGGGAGAAGCATTGCCGTTATAGCCGACAATGCTTCGAGCCATACCCTGCAATCCCCGCTTGCCAGGACCGAGGACGTGTACGGGTTCCGCACATGCGCTTTCCCACGTTCGGTTCGTGTACCTCCCACCAAATACAACACCGTTCACCCAGCCGCTGGACTAGGAATAATGGCGGCGTTCAAGGCAAGTACAAGACCTCCCTGCTTCGGGCCATCCTCATTGAGTGGTCGAAGCCCGGCATGACGGTGGACGCGCTCATCAAGTTCAAGCCGGATATGACTCGTGTCACCGAGTTAATATACGACGCCACAAATCGGCATCGATACGTCGACAATTCAGAAGTGTTTCTGGAGGGCCGGCATACTTCCACAAAACTGGAAGCCACTGTTGACCCAGTTCGATGAGGCGCTACTAGAGAACGACCACGTTCTGGGCGCGGACATCATAGCCGTCCAGAACGTTATGAACGTGCTCATCTTTGTCCCCGAAGGCTGGGTCGACGCCGCTGTCGCGTTCGTCTATGCGGACCATGAAGAGCAAACGGATCTGCCACGCGGCACCGACTTGTTAGAGCAAGAGCCGGCTGCGGCGCCTGTCGAGATGCGTAATTCGTGAGCGCTCAGCCATCAGCCAATCTCGGAGACTCGGACTGTGGCAGGCGGGGGCTCACGAGTATGGCGATTGAGATGTTGATAGGCCTATGCGGGGAGCCTCAATCTCGCTCCTCGAAACCTCCGGATCCTTTTTGATATCCATGATCCGACGGTCATCGAACACCTCGACCGCGCGTCGCCGCGCCTCGACACCAATGCCACACAACAAGATGTGGACGGCGCATACTACGAGTCGGTCCTGGAGGCGACAATTGTCATGTCTGGTTTCTCCGACTCGGATGAGTGGATGACCTACAGTGGCTTGCCAATGGAGCGGCACACGACTTAATATCCGCGGCTCCGGATTAGGCGCCTTACGGACGCTGCATGGCATGGGTCGGAGTCCATACTTCGTTGACTTGTGTTGTCTTGTGTTCCGCTCTATTTCTGTTTTATTGGCCTATGTGTTTAGATTTTTCCCTTGGTTGGTGTTGGGTGATTTGTTGTCGGCTTATGTGCTTCTTGGATATGCTTCTGGCGACTGTTTTATGGTTGTGATATGTTTACGCATGGCAAAACCTGTGCGACCTGCACTTTCCAGAGCTGTCGCAGCATCCGCCACGGTGCCCGCCCTGAACAATACGCATCGGACAGAGGCCCTACATTCTGGGAATCGATAAGGGCACATTGCCCCAGGCGTACGGGCCTAATCGATAGGTGCAATTCCAACGTTCCTGGAGCTTGCGCTAATAGAATATAACGTGTATTGGCCCATTTCGCCCCATAGATGTTTTGTGATCGACTCTGGAGTACCCGTTCGAAAAGGACTTCATCTGTACTGTATCAAGTGTTTTCCGCACTTGCCCTGCACGCATGTGCTTTGCTCAGCGCTCAGGCTCACCCGGTCAGGCGCGGGCCTGAGGTGGGGCGGGGCCTCAGGGTGCAGGACTGATCCCGCCCATCAAACGAAGCCTTTCGGGGACCGCGAGAGTGTACAGTACAGCTGTACAGCACCCGTGCTAGCTTGGCATTTGAGCTGGCGAATAAGAAGCTTGGCATTGCGACAGCAAAAGGACGGGATCATTCATCATTGGACGAAGCTTATCGCTGTGACTGCCCACAAGGTCGCATGCCTTCGTCCAGCGACGCGAAACAGTCCATGCGACATAAAGATAAAATGAAAGGAACACTTGGATAATGATGCGAAGTTTTTCTTCCTCGAGGGGTTGGCCCAACCAGCTCAAGCTTCACGTGAAGTTGTGATGGGACGCCCCCGGAGGAGACCCCATGTGGACACTGCTCACAAGCATTGGCGAGCACCACCAGTGCTGCCAGATGCTGACAGTCAATCGCAACCGTCGATTTGGGCGATTGGAAATTGGGTGCCCGCGCGGCTTCTCTGGAAAATCAGTGCAGCATTGGATGCGCCCATCACGCCAGGATCTAGAAGGTTCCAAATCTCAAACTTAGGTGGCCATGTTCGCGCAACTTGAGCTAGCTGTACGCCAATATTATCATGCCTTCATAATGGTAAAAGCTGCTGAGTAAATGCGCTTAGGGAATACAGTACGAAAACGGGAGGGAACTGTGCCCTGGATACAGTATACACCAACCTCACTAACTGCCAGGCCTCAAAATAGCCGGGTGAAATGCCCCTGATTGCCCTGATTTTTCCGGGTATTTTTCATGTTACTCTTAAAAATCCGACTTGTAATTTTTTTAAGGCTGATTCAAAAAGTGTTCGCCTTTTTTTACCCTGCTAGAACCAGGGTTAGGCGCCTCCCAGCCTGAGGCGTCAGGGTAGAATGAAAATTACCCTGATACAGAAACTCCAAAGAGGCAAGATACGTGCCAGATTTTGTGCGAGTGATGCCCGCCACGCCACCGCCACGCCCCTCGTCAGTCCGAAGTTTGTTGCCCACCATCATCACATGCGCATGGGCACGTGTTGATGTACCACCTCGTTGGCTTTGCGCCGCCTTACGATTGGTTAGAGTGGCAGCATTGTTTCCTCGCTGGGTGACAAGTTCGCGCGCCGACAGTGAATGCTGATGCATGCAGCAACTTCACAGGTTTTTTCCTGTGAGCTGAGCGGTCCCAAACGAGGCTCTTGACTGCACACCTTTTGTGTCTCGCAAAACGCCCTTCTTCTCCATACGTTCTTCCAGAAACCATGCCCCCTGACTTGCAACGAGCATTCCCTCACCCAGTAGAGTTTCGAGTAGCTGGATCGTCCTTCAGCCATGGCGCTCGATGCTGCCGATCCTCCTGACCCTCCCCCACTGAATGGACTCAGCGTTCTTGGGGTTTTCCCCCTCCTCCCGCCGCGTAGAGTTGCGCCTTCCCCGCCGCGCAATCCCTCGCTCGACAAGCGTGCACCCCCTCCGCAACAGTTTCTTTTTGAGCCAACGTCCCCACCTTGCTCTTCTCATGCTGCTGAGGCGATCGACCTCAACCTGTTGCACAGCGAAGGCACTTCTGGCGAGGCACCAGAAGTTGCTGAGTCTGTCGCCACCGCTCCCGCCAAGAGGAAGGACTGCGGACCATGGACTCAGCGTCGGCTTCCTTGGGCGCCACCGCCGAAGAAGCCGGCTGCACCGCCTACTCCTCCGCCTGTTGCTCCTACTCCGCCCCAGAATCCCGCTTCTCATGTCGACGCGGAGTATGAGGTCGTGAATCGTCGCTTCGTGGACGACTGGTCACGACGCTTCCCGTGGCTCCGACTTACTCGTATGAAGAACGGCCGACCTGCCCTCAAATGTGCCCTGTGTCTCCAGTACGGTGATGCTTTCTCCAACACTTCATATGGCAGGAAAGGAGAGGGTGCGCGCGATCTCCAGGTGGGCAGCATCCGAATCCACATTGGGACACGTGCTCACAAGGCGGCTGTCAAGGCGCAGCAAGAACGGAGAAAGAGACGGATCAGCAGAAGACGCTAGACCGATGGGCGGTGACAGATGCATCGACGAAACATCTCATCCGGTGCTTCCATATCGCCCTTTTTTGTCTGTAAGGCCGACGCGCCCATCACGATGTACGTGGCGCTTTGCTACTTCCTCGTGTCCGAGGGCTTACCCGATCTCCCGCAGGGTCGGGCGTATGGGACCTACTACACGGAGTGAGTTTTGATATCCGAATCCCTCTTCTCCCGTCAATGCATTGCATGTCGCCGCAGACATCGAACGTTGCCGTAATTTCCTTGTATGTGTCCACTTGCTCTCCAACTTTCTTACCAGTAGCCTATCCATTCCCATCTCCCCCTACCAGTTATGGCTTCAAGCAAGGGACCAAGGCGATTTCCGAGTACCTGAAGGACGAGCAGCTCCACCACATCCTGAGCTCCCCGTTTGTCGGCATCGCCATCGATGAAAGCACGGACCGCGTGCACGGGAAGCATCTAATTCTGTATGCTACGTTCTTTCGTGGCAACTCGGTAGTCACAGAGTTTGTCACTCTGCTAACTGTCGAGCGGACCGATGCGGCGTCTCTGACGGCGGTTCTTCTACAGTACCTGCAGTACATCGGTCTCGACCTCCAGAAGATCGTCGGATGGCTACCGATGGAGCATCGGTAATGACCGGTGTGCAACAGGGAGTGGTAACCCGCCTAAAGAGGCGGATTGAGCACCTGATGGCTGTTCACTGCATCGCCCATAGGTGGGGTGTTTTACTCGCTACCCTCATGTTTTCAGTAGAACGCTCCAAATCATTGCATCTGTTCTAGTGTTGTACTCGTTGACCGTATGCTTTCCTCTGCTTGTCGGACTCATTGCTTTTTTGTGTTTAATCCACTCCTCCCGCCAGAGAGGCACTTGCGGCGAAGGATGCTGCCGCTGCTGTGGCCGAGCTACAGATCATCGACATGCTCATCCGTGCTTTCGCCGAGCTCGTCGGTCGCTCCAACAATCAGCACCTCAGCTTCATAAACTTCCAGCTGGTGTTTTGCAACACCAATCTAGAGATGCAAGGGATCCACGCCGTACGTTGGTTGTCGCGCGGAGAGGCGGTGATCCGCTTCGTCGAAGTGCTGCCGGCGGCCATCGTCTTGCTGCGTGATCACCCCAGCGGTCTTTTCGAGATTGTGACGTCGTTCAAGGTGCAGTTCATGCTGCACTACCTCGCCGACATACTGGAGGAGCTGAATCACCTTAACACCCGCTTCCAGCAGCGCCAGGTATGACACTCCTCTCATCGTTGAATGTCGTCAGTACCATGTGCTTGCATCTAGGCACTCAGTCATACTTTGCACGTTTATTTTGCATGTCGTTCATGGTGCCCTGTTTGCTTTGAAATTATCTCTGTGTTTTCGTTGCAGGTGGATCTCACAATCGTGGCCTCAGTGGTGGACAACACGTGCAACCGCATCACCGACCGCTACATCAAGTGCGGCGGTGGTCTCTTCTTCGGGAACGGCAGCGAGAGGCTTGGGAAATTCCTGGAGCGTCACGGGAGGCCCGACCAGCGCCGCGTGCGCGTTCAAGGCGTTGACTCGGAGGGGAATGCTCAGGCGTTCGAGTATGTGCTGCATGAGCGGATGGTGGAGGGGCACAACACCAAGAGCGACCTAGACTCCTGCGCCCAAGTCTGCCGGAAGCATGCAATCGATGTCGTCACCAACGTCCGTGCCCGCCTGAAGGACCTGGCTAACATGGAAGGATGCAAGCTCTTCAAAGCCAAGACCTACCCACGAGACGACGAGTTGCGCCTAGCGAGATGCAAGCAGTGGCTGAAGCAGTCCCACAACCTCTTCGATGGAAAGCTCCCAGGTGAGACAGATTTGTTCTCGATGATGCTGCCTGTCATCGATGCTTGCGTGTCCGTTCTTAGGCTGCAGTCCCCGCAATCCATTTGCAGCAACATTCGTTGCACATCTCCCCTCAAAGGCTTACTGTTTCCTATCCTTTGAATCCCAACCCCACCATCCTGTAGGCTTCGACTACAACAAGGCCGTCACGGAGCTGTGGGTGTTTACTGCTACCATGGTGTCGCAGTACAAAGATGACGAGTTTCAACAGGGGCTCACCTTGACTCTGGACAACAATGAGTGGCAGCGGAGCTACCCCAACATCCTCAAGCTGTGGCAGGCACTGGCGGTGCTCCCTCTCAGCACAGTGGAGTGCGAACGTGGTTTCTCGAAGCAAAATCTGATCAAGTCATGGAGTCGTGGGTGCCTTGGCGATGACAGCCTGGGCGACTTGATGCGGTGCTCGCTCCTGTGCTACCAGATTGACTGGTTTGATGTGGTAGCTGTTTTCCGAGGTGAGAAGCGGCGGCGGCCTCTGCGCGACTTGTGTTATGCCAACCCAACTCCAGCTGCGGCTTCTGCAGATGCAGGCACCATAAGGACTGACCCTGACCCTGACCCAGTTCCACTAGAGGATCCTAGTGTGCTGTAGGTCGTGTGGTTGTGATTTTCCTTGCCTACGTTCCTAGTTCATGCTAATTATTTCCATATGTTAATTATTGACATGCAGTGTAGCTAGGAATATAGTGCATTTCATAACGTGAAACTGGGTTCTGCTTTTTTTACCCTGAGCACCCAGAGTGCCGAATGTTCTACCCTGCTGAATCAGACTTGAGAAAAATTGTACTCTGACCGGCAGGGTAATTTTTTTTTGGCACTCTGATTCCTAAGAGTGGCCTAAAACCAATTTTGAGGCCTGCTAACTGCTCTTCCTAACCTTGAAAACCTTCAATCGCCTAATCAAGCATAATGTGCTCATGCACATCACACAACTATGCACTCGTCAAAAAGTCAATTGTTACTAAACCAAATACGCATGCGTCGGCATTTTTTGCCTGAGAACAAATCACCTAGCTGGAGCAGCTGTGGCAGGGAAAGCAAGACCGGTCGAGGAGAGAGTAGAGTGATCAGGGCCCAAATGGGCTGTTAAGTCCCGCTCCACTGCCGCCAACAGCTCATCGTACTGCGATGCATTTGGTTGTGCCTGTAAAAACAACGGGCACGATTGGGGTAATGGGATAACATGTGGTTAGCAAGCAGAGTGGAGGAGAAGGCCGAGTGGTCGGGTCCCATGTCAGTCCCTTTCCAATGCTGCCAGCAGTTACTGTACTGCAACGCATTCAAGTGTGCCTTCGTGGGGAGACGAACAATGGGAGTGATAGGGCAGTCTCTGGTTTGACAGATTCCATATGCTTGTGCTTGGATGAAAAACGATGCCATGACATTGCATGTGCTTTAAGGAGTGAGAAGATGCAGTGACAACGGATGTGCATGAAAGACGAATAAGCAACAGCAGCAGTGACAATCCACAGCTGCACATACATTGAGCACTAACATGTATGCAGTCCAGAGCTTCAAATAATTCAGAAACTATTATGGAGTCAGCTTGAAACGAGCCCCCCACATACCTTGAGCACCCTCACGTAAGCAGTCCACAGCTTCATGCCATTCTGAAAGAGCCTAGTTTTGAGGCGAATCAAAACTAGTCATTCTGAAAGAGCGCTGCAAGCACCTGAAGGGAGCAGTCTATTTGTGATGCGCCTCAAAACTACCCAAGAGACCCCCACATACCTTGAGCGCTCTCACATAAGCGGTCCACAGCTTCATGTCATTCTGAAAGAGCTCTGCAAGCACCTGCAGGGAGACGCATGGAGAAAATGGGATGGAGAACAGGATCAATCGTTGGAAATAACTACAGCTGGCTGCAATAGTGTGGAAAGCACCGCAGTCCACTCGTGGAAGCCCACAGTGCGCAAGTAAACCAAGATGAACATTTGTGGTGGGCAAAACACTTACCAACCCTCCACCAACCCCTCAGCTCTGCTGGCAGCAGCAGTGTGGCGGGGACAATGGTCATCTCGTGGAAGCCTGCAGTGCGTACGTGAGCCAAGAGGAACCCCGCATCTAGCCAGTGTATCCGGCACAACACTTCAAAACTCTGCACTCACCGCTTACCTCCGATCGCTGCAGCAGCGTTGCGAACACCACTGTCCACTCGTAGAAGCCCCCCACACACACACACCACGCCCAACCCCTCACCTCTGATCGCTGCAGCAGCGTTGCGAGCACCACGGTCCACTCATGGAAGCCCACGGTGCGCACGTGAGCCAAGAGGAACTCCGCATCTAGCCTGCTCTGCAGGTTTCCCTCTATGGCGAGCTGAGGGGGATGGGGAGCAGGGGTAGAGGGAGAGCAGGAAGGGAGGTACTGGTGGCGCATAGAACCAAGAGGAACTCCGCGTCTAGCCTGCTCTGCAGGTTCCCCCCTATGGCGAGCTGGGGGGGATGGGGATAGGGGCGAGGGGAGAGGGGAGAGAGGAGAGGGGAGAGGGGAGGGGGGAGAGGAGGGGAGAGGGGAGAGGGAGAGGGGAGAGGGTAGAGGGGGAGAGGGGAGAGGGGAGAGGGGAGAGGGGAGAGGGGAGAGGGGAGAGGGGAGAGGGGAGAGGGGAGAGGGAGAGGGGAGAGGGAGAGGGGAGAGGGGAGAGGGAGAGGGAGGGGAGAGGGGAGAGGGGAGAGGGGAGAGGGGAGAGGGGAGAGGGGAGAGGGGAGAGGGGAGAGGGGAGAGGGGAGAGGGGAGAGGGGAGAGGGGAGAGGGGAGAGGGGAGAGGGGAGAGGGAGAGGGGAGAGGGGAGAGGGGAGAGGGGAGAGGGGAGAGGGGAGAGGGGAGATGAAAGGAGTGAGGGGATAGCGACTGCGGTTAAAGGAGACAGAAGAACAAAAAGAATCAAATCTAAGAAAAGCAAAGCAGAAAAGATTGCGAATGACAGACAGTGGCACAACAGTAGATAAGCACATGTTGCAGTACAGGACTATCGCCGCCCCTATCCCCTCCTTCCCTCACCTTACCCCTCTCCTCCCCTCCTCTCCCCATCCTCAAGCCAACCCCCCCCGTCCCCCCTCCCCCCGCGCCCCGCCTGCCCCTCCAACAGAGGTGTGAAGTACTTTGAAGTAGATGTGCGCAGGGCAGTGAGAAAGCCCTTCCCCTCCCCTCCATCCCTACCTGTCCAACGCCCCCCTCCTCGTCCCCCCCCCTCTTTTGAGTCGACTCAGAAGGTACCTTGAAACGGATGGAGATACCTTGTCATGCGACGTTGTAACGAGGTGACTTTACAGTTGACTCCAAAGTTACAGCAGATGGTGCCACCCTGAAGCGGATGGTGCTACCCTGAAGCGGATGGTGCTACCCTGAAGCGGATGGTGCTACCCTGAAGCGGATGGTGCTATCTTGAAGCGGATGCTGCTATCTTGAAGCGGACGGTGCTATCTTGAAGCGGATGGTGCTATCTTGAAGCGGATTGTAACGAGGTGACTTTCGATTCGACTCAGAAGGTACCTTGAAGCGGATGGTGCGCAGCGCAGTGGGGAAGTCCTCCAAGCGAATGGCCCTGCCCCGATCCGACCGAAGAAACTCCTGGTGGGGGCAGAGGGATGGGGGATGGCGCATGAGTGGCATGGTGCGGATGTGGCATGGGTGGCATCGTAGGGATGCGTGACATGGGGATGGGGGATGGTAGCATGGGGATGGGGGATGGTGGCATGAGGATGGGGGATAGTGGCATGGGATGGGGGATGGCGGCATGGACTACAGACTTAACACTCAGAGAAATCGAGCAATACTGGGCATGAAATGACTCCTTCGCAATGAAGTCGAACTGGGTGCCGTTACCAAGGCCTAGAATCTCTCACATTTACACGCACACGCACACGCGCACGCATACGCACATGCGCACGCGCCCGGACACGCGCACGGATACGCACACGCACGCCACGCGCGCGCGCGTGCACACACACCCATACATATTTCTGTGTGTGCGTGTGTGTAAGCATAAAATGCATGCCACCCCTTACAGTGAAGTCGAACTGGGTGCCTTTAACGAACGCCACCAGCTGCCGCAGCTCCTTGCTGCTCATCAGAGCCGTTGCCTTCTCCCCCAATATGTGCTTCACCGTCGTGTGCAGCACGTCCCCCCGAGCCTTGGGCGCTCTGTGTCATTGTTAGGGGGGGACGGGGAAGATAAATTGGGAGCAGAGCAGGTTCGCTGGGCAGCAGAGGCATGAGCCATCAGGGCGTCGCCCCCAGTATGTGCTTCACCGCCGCATGCAGCACATCCCCGCGCGCCTTGGGCGGTCTGTTATGGGAAATGGTGGGGGGAGTAAAAGAAAAGTTGAGGGAAGGTTAGCAGAAGGCAGCTGAGGAATCAGCGCCACCAGAAACGTGAGAAACGTTGTGGGTGGTTGCCTCTCCCCCAGTGTGTGCATCACTACTATCGTGTGACTTTTGAGTCGACTCAAAGGCCACCCAGTACCTATGTTGCTATAAACTTTAGGGAAGCGTCCAGCGTATATTCGCCAAACGCGTTTATGGCAACATAGCCCAGTACGTGCGTCACTACTATCGTGTGACTTCTGAGTCGCCTCAAAAGCCACCCAGTACCTATGTTGCCATAAACGCTTTCGACGCCTATGTGCGTCACTATCGCCGCCTTGTGTTGGGAGATTTTTTTGTCGACTCAAAAATCGCCTCAAAAGCCACCCAGCAGTACGTGCGTCACTATCGCCGCCTTGTGTTGGGAGAAAGACGAATGAGAGTCAGCGCAGGCGCAGGGTGACAGGTGAAGCCACGGGAAACAAATGATTGAGTTGAGACTCGCATGCTTTGGGCGCTCTGCAATGGAAGGAAATTTGAATGCATACTTGGAGCAGGGATGGAGTCACGTGGACGGATGGGCTCACGTGGACGGGACGGGATGGGATGGGATAGGATGGGATGGTTGGGATGGGATGAGATGGGACGGGATGGATGGGATGGGACGGGATGGGATGGGATGGGATGGATGGGATGGGATGGGGATGGGATGGGATGGATGGGATGGGATGGATGGGATGGGATGGGATGGGATGGGATGGGATGGGATGGATGGGACGGACTCACGTGGAGGTGAAGCCGAAGGTAAAGAAGCTCTTGAGCAGGCTCTCACTGGCCCTCTCGTCCTCCTCCACTGCTTGGCTGTACTCCCGCCCCGACCGCAGCAGGAAGCGGACCTGGGATATGGCAAAGGGTTTGCATCGAGAGGATGCGGATGGAGAGCAGGAGGAGGGAGAGGGCCAGTGGAAAGGGGGGGCAGGGGGAGGAGGAATGCGGGGGAAGAGATTGAGGGGAGTTGGGGATGGGTATGAGGAGGATAGGAGGGGGGCATGCCAGAACTGAAGGGCATGCCAGAACTGAAGGAACAGGAAGAATGAGTGCAGTGCAGCTGAGAGATTGGTCTTACCAGCTCGCCTGCGAGGTCGTTCATCCACTCTTGCAACGCCACCAGCATTTGACACCCATTGTCATACATGCATGTACACACACACAATGGCCCACCAATACTCCGACTACAGCGATGCAACGGCAGCGATGCAACGGCAGCAATGCAACGGCAGCGATGCAACGGCAGCGATGCAACGGCAGCGATGCAATGGCAAGCAACAATGCAACGGCAGCAATGCAACGCAGCCAAGGCATTGGCCTCACCAGCTCGCCTGCGAGGTCGTACATCGACTCTTGCAACGCCACCTGCACACACCCACAGCACACACAGGACATGCTTCGTTGTGAGGGATTTCAGAGAAATTTCAGAAATCTTCCACAACATACAGGACATGCTTCCTGACTCAGGCGGAAGAAGGACATTTGGGGAGGGGAACCGGGGGGCGACTGAAACTAAAGTGGAGGTGGGGAATGGGGTCAGGGACCCAGCAGGCTGATAGCCACTACCAGTAGGGTAGCTGCTACTAGGGCGTCCCAACCCCAAATAAGCAATGGGGTACCTTTTGATTCGACTCAAAAATAGCCACTAGCAGTGGGGAGCTGCCATTAGGGCGTCTCAACTCAACCGCAAAAGCGCAAAGGGGTACCTGCTATTAGGGCGACTCAACCACAAATTAGCGACGGGGTACCTGCAAGAGGCGCAGGGCGCTTTGTTGGCCGATGGTGGGGCCTTCTAGCTTTTCCACCACCTGACAAGGACGAACGGGCGGGATCAGGGGCAGGAGGCTAGTCTTGAGGCGCCTCAAAAACTGGGAACAGGGGGCAGGAGGCTAGTCTTGAGGCGCCTCAAAACTGGGATCAGGGGCAGGAGGGAGCGGATACTATTTTTGAGCCCCCTAAAAAATATTCGCTTGTTGGGCAACGGTCAGGCCTTCTCGTTTCTCCACCACCTGATGAGGACACACGGGACCGGAGCAGGGGCGGCGGGACCGGAGCAGGGGCGGACGGGACTGGAGCAGGGGCGGGCGGGACCGAGCAGGGGCGGACGGGACCGGAGCAGGGCGGACGGGACCGGAGCAGGGGCGGACGGGACGGAGCAGGGGCGGACGGACCGGAGCAGGGGCGGACGGGACCGGAGCAGGGGCGGACGGGACCGGAGCAGGGCGGACGGGACCGGAGCAGGGCGGACGGGACCGGAGCAGGGCGGACGGGACCGGAGCAGGGGCGACGGGACCGGAGCAGGGGCGGATGGGACCGGAGCAGGGGCGGATGGACCGGAGCAGGGGCGGATGGGACCGGAGCAGGGGCGGATGGGACCGGGAGCAGGGGCGGATGGGACCGGAGCAGGGCGGATGGGACCGGAGCAGGGCGGACGGGACCGGAAGAAACAGGAATGCATGTGGCAGACCGACAGGGTACATACATACACGCACCATCCAGAACGTACCAGAATGTAGCATGTGGCTGTACGATACTGCTTGTTCTCGAAGCACTCCTCAAAGAGCCTGCCTCAACCAGGGAAACACAGAGGAGACGTGTGTCAGAATGGAAGGTGAACCAACACATGCAGGCCGGCCAACACTGGCCAACATTAAGCCACATGGCAAGCCAGCCAGCACCAAACCCAGCAGCATTGTTTCATTCCCTGTCCTTCCGAAACTCCAAATTCGCCAGTATTGTCATATGCGTAAGGTTCTCATAGTACACCATCTCAGGTGTTTGAGTTGCCAGCAGAGGCGAACAGGTCAGGCCAGTGCCGGCTGTCGCTTCTTCCAGACCACGCTCACTCACCACGTCCCGATCGTCCCGATACTCCCCACTGTCACATGTGTCACTTGCCCCACATCCGATGTGCTTCAGACCCCCCAAAGTCTCACGTGTTTGAGTTGCCAGCAGAGGCGAAACAGATCAGCCAGTGTCTGCTGTCAGTCTTCCTGGCCACGCTGACCACCACGTCCCGGTACTCCCCAAAGTGCCGAATCAGCTCGCACGCCCGGTCCAACAGGCTTGGCCCTTTCTTCACCTCCTTGCGCCGGCGCCGCGCACTGGCACTGGAGGAAGAGAGGGCAGCGGGAGGGGAATTACGGCGGTGGAGGACGATAAGGGGCGCAAAGAGCCCAGCCCCAACCAACAAGCTTGGCCCTTTCGACCCCTCCTCGCGCCGGTGCCACGCACTGGCACTGGAAGAAGACAGGGCAGCGGGAGGGGGAATTACGGCGGTGGAGGACGATAAGGGGCGCGAAGAGCCCAGCCCCAACCAACAAGCTTGGCCCTTTCGACCCCTCCTCGCGCCGGTGCCACACACTGGCACTGGAAGAAGAGAGGGGAGAAAGGGGGAGTGTGGGGGTGGGGTGGGGGGGGGGAAGGAGGAGGGAGGATGGAAGAGAGTGAGTGAGAGGGGGAGTGGGTGGTAACGAAGTTGACCAACGGGAACCCATAACGCCTCACAAAACCCCTCTGCACCGCACTGAACCCACCTGGACGTCTCGGCATCGAAGATGGTGAAGAGCAGCCACTCGAGGGAGTGGGAGAAGTGGGGCGCGTGGCAGAGAGGGCGCGCCAGCTGTATGGCCTCCTCCATCTTGTTGCGCTGAGGGGGGGAGAAGACGAGGGGAGAGGCGGGGGGGGAGAGGAGGGGAGAGGAGGGGGGAGAGGGTGGGGGGAGAGGAGAGGAGAAGGGGGGGAGAGGGGGGAAGAGGAGGGGGAAGAGGAGGGGGGGGAGAGAGTGGGCGGGCTGTTCAGAAGAAGTCAGGAGGAGTGGAGAAGTGGGGCCCTGTGGCAGTGAGGTGCGCCAGCTGTATAGGCTCCTCCATCTTGTTGCGCTGAATGGAGGGTGGGGTGGAGAGGAGGGAGAGGGAGAGGGAAAGGAGAGAGAGGGGAGAGGGAGAGGGAGAGGGAGAGGGGAGAGGAGAAAGAGAGGGAGAGGGAGAGAGGGGAGAGGGAGAGGGAGAGGGAGAGGGAGAGGAGAGGGAGAGGGAGAGAGGAGAGGGGAGAGGGAGAGGGAGAGGAAGAGGAGAGGGAGAGGGAAGAGGGAGAGGAGAGGAGAGGAGATGGAGAGGGAGAGGGATACGGAGAGAGGGAGAGGAGAGGGAGAGGGAGAGAGGAGAGGGAGAGAGGGAGAGGGAGAGAGAGGAGAGGAAGAGAGAGGGAGAGGGAGAGAGGGAGAGGAGAGGGAGAGGGAGATGGAGAGGGAGAGATACGGAGAGGGAGAGGGAGATGGAGAGGGAGAGGAGAGAAGAGGAGAAGGAGAGGAGGAGGGAGAGAGGGGAGGGAAGGGGAGGGGAGAGGAGGAGACATGTTCAAAGTAAGGAAACCTCAATGGCAATAGCCGGTACCTGTCCCTTTGCTTCCTTTCCCATCATCAGTATCCCTTTGCTTCCCTTCCCATCATCAGTATCCCTTTGCTTCCCTTCCCATCATCACTATCCCTTTGCTTCCGTTCCCATCATCAGTATCCCTTTGCTTCCCTTCCCATCATCACTATCCCTTTGCTTCCCTTTCCATCATCACTCCCACCTGCAGCAGGTGCCGTAGCAGGCACGGCACAATCGCCAGTCATGTCCAGGACAGAGGGAACCTAAATGGCCATAGCCTGTACCTGTCCCTTCGCTTCCCTTCCCACCATACCTGCAGCAGGTGCCGTAGCAGGCACCGGTTGCGCCTGTGGCGTGGGCTCAAAGCACGGACAGCAACAGGCGCTGACGGACGCCCACTATCTCCCATGACTGCACCTGCCATTCGCTAGCGCTTTCACCATCACCATACCTGCAGCAGGTGCCGTAGCAGGCACGGCAGGATGGGTTGCGCCTGTGGCGTGGGCTCAAAGCATGGCATCTCGGCGCAGGAGGAGAGTGACAGGCGCTGGCTGACGCCACTATCACCCCCGCTGCAGTGACACCCCCAGCGGGTACACCTCTCGGTCGAAGTCGAGCTCTGGGTCCAACTGCTGCACCTCTGACGGCTGGCCGGATGCATCGTGGTACAGAGAGGGGTACCACACCTGCAGGCACACGCGTGGGAATGGAAAGGGGGTTGAACCATTTCAGCCGAAGTCGAGCTCTGGTTCCAGCTGTTGGACTTCAGACGGCTGGCCCGATGCGTCGTAATAGAGAGAGAGGTGAGGGACGGTGGAAGGAGGGGGGATTGGAGAGGTGTTATTGGGTTGACTTGACTTGGGGATCAGATCAGCTGCAGCGACAGACACCCCGCTCTCAGTCAAAGGTTGAGCTCTGGCTCTAGCTGCTGCTGGTGCAGGCGGCCGATGCATCCTGTGCAGAGAGGCACCACACGTCGTGAGATGAGGGAGTGAGGATTGAGGGGTGAGGGATGAGGGGTAGGGCTTTAAGATGCAGCAAAGCAGAAACACAATTCAGGGTGAGACGAGGGAATGGCAGCGGGGCACTCGCCAGAGGGGAGTGTGGGCAGTAAGGGAGAAGAATAAGAGGCCTGAAGCATGAACAAAGTCCCTTTCCGATGAAACCTCACTGCAACCCACCTGCATGCCTCTGTGCCCATACGCCCACCAGGGCACCTCCTCAATGAGCGCAGCAGCAGCCTCGTCCCCACCCTGAGTCAACCAGAAGTTCTCAACGCCCGCCACCAGCGCCCTCTCACTGCCACTGTCCAGATCCAGCAATGAGAATCCCCATCGTGCGCAGCAGCATGCACTTGGTCTGGCTGCCGCCTCATCGCCGCTGCCAGTGGATCCCTTACTCCCCCACCGTTGCCACTCGCTTTTAGAGTCTCTTAGCCCCCGCCGCCAGGTTAGAGCCCTTTGCCCTGCTGCTGCTGCCTGCGCCTTGCCCCATCCCCTCTGCCTCTTGGTCCCCCCCCCCCTGCATCTCCCCACTCCTGTGCGCGGGGACGAAACGCATGGAGACGGGGCTTGCGGGCTGACATATTGAGAGCTCTCTACTGTGCGCAACTGGTGGAGGAGAGGGAGAGGGTTGGGTTGGGGGTTGAGGGACAGCAGCGGGACAGAAGGAGGTTAAGGGGCTTGCAGGCTGACATTATGGAGAGCTCTCGTGCTGTGCCTGTCCCATGACAGCACGAACAACCCACCTGCACTGTGGCAGGTGCAAGGAGACACGTCGCCCTCCACGTGCATGTGGTACACGCGGATGCCAAAAGGGCGACGTGGCCACGGCCACCAGGATGCAGCCGCCCGACGCGTCCAGAGCCACTCATGAATGGTGTGTGTGTGCATGCACATGCAGGGGAAGACCTCACCTGCACTGTGGGCAGGTGCAGCGGAGACACGTCTCCATCCACGTGCATGTGGTACACGCGGATGTCAAAGGGCGGCGTGGCCACCAGGATGTAATCGCCCCATGCGTCCAGAGCCAGGGGCGGGCAGGGAGGGCTGGCGGCACAGCAGGGAGGATTCGTCCAGGTGAAAGCGGGGGTAGAGGCAGAGCTCGTAGCTGAAGGGGGTGGAGATGAGGGAGAAGGGCAGGGGAAGTGTTGATGGGGTTAAGGGAGGGGAGAGGAGAGTCTTGGCTCCTAGCTGAGGGGCAGCAGCTGGCACAGCTGAGACAACTCGTCCAGGTGGAAGCGAGGGTAGAGGCACAGCTTGTAGCTGGTGGGCATTGGGTCGGTGGGGGGTGTGGGGAGTGGGGGGTGTAAACGAGGAGAAACACAGCTGATAGGTTGGCAGCAGAGTTTTGAGACGCCTTAAACTCAGCTGAGCGGGAGCAGGGGGGGAACTCGCTCGTTATCACATCACACAGCACACAGCTGATAGGCTGGTGGCAGATTAGTGAGAGAACTCGTTCAAGTAAAAGGAGGGCACTGCACGGAGATAGCAGCGAAGGACACATTCACCTCTAGTTGAGCGTCTTACGAGTGGGAGGCAACTCTGTGGTTGCACACGATGATGATTTTGCCCAGCCACAGCAGCCCCTCGCACTTAACGCCCCCAGTGCGAGTGTGACTGGGATCTGAGCCTGTGAGTGAGGTACTGGTGTGTGCTTGTCTGCCTTACGAGTGCGGGCAACCCTGTGGTTGCACACATGATGATGTTGCCCGGCCACAGCAGCCCCTCAGGGTTGAGCGTTGCTCTTCACTGCAGTGACCCACTCACGCATGGGACTATGAGTGTGAAGCACCACCTGTGTGTGTGTCTTACGAGTGCGAGGCAACCCTGTGGTTGCACACAATGATGATCTTTCCGAGCCACAGCAGCCCCTCGCACTTGATGGCCCTCTCCTGCATCACATCTCCAAACACGCGCCACTTCTTCGACCGCAGGTTGTGCAGAATCACGCCCCTCCGCCCGCCACTGCCAGGTACGACCCGTCGTCGCTCGCTGCCACGTGCCGCACGGGCCAGTTGACCCCCATGTACGTTTGCTGGAACCAGGGTTAGGGAGGGAGGGCGGAGATATGGCGAGTGAGAGATTCAAGGCCGTACAGGCCAGTTGACCCCATGTACGTTTGCTGCATGGGAGGAAGCGGGGCACACAAGTCCTACAGAATAGCCCAAGTCAGGGGGGCATCTTGGACCTGCCATGGCCTGCCACAAGTGGGAGCTACCCGGTACAGCTAGCTCCATGCTACAGCTAGCTCCATGCTACAGCTAGCTCCCTGCTACAGCTCCACTCCAGGCACAGACTTAGGCATGAGTACTCACCAGAATCACCAAGTGCTGTACCCGCAGCTCCTCCTCCTCGTTGCGCTGCACCAAGAGCACCCTGTCCGCCGCCGCCATGGCCTGCCACACGTGCAGGCTCACTGGTATAGCTAGCTAGCTCCACAAGCACGGACATACGCATAAATGCTTACCGGATCACCAAGTGCTGCACCCGCAGCTCCTCCTCCTCGTTGCTCTGCACCAGCAGTACCCTGTCCGCCCCCGCCATGGCCTGCCACACATGGGAGCTCCCGCCACTGCCTTGCTCGAGCACTGCCGCGCGAACGCAAACTGCACCAGCCGCCCCGCCTGCCTCCCCCTCACCCCCGCCGCCACCTCCCCCACCACCCCTGCTTCCGCTGCTACCAGCTGGTACCCCTCCTCCCCCCACGCTACAGCTGCCACTCCCCCCACCATTGGCTCGCTGCTCCGAACCACTGCGGCTGTAGCGGACCCGCTGTACGGCTCCTGCTGCTGCCGAGCCTGGGGTAGAGCTGGGTCTGAAGCGGAGGAGGAGGTTGGGGGTGTGGTGGTGTGGTGGCGGAGTAGCAGTGGGATGGTGGAGGAGGAGGAGGAGGAGGAGGAGGAGGAGGGCGGAGGAGGCTCATGAGCCCTGGCGGATGGTGCACATGAGGCGGCAGCCAGACACGGACCACACTGCCAGCCCTCTAGTTTCCACCCCACGGCAAACGCCAGTTGTCCGGCGACCAGCATATGCAGGCAACTGCTCCCGTGTCTTCTAGTGAGTAGCTGCAGAGGCAGGAGAGGGTTATCGGAAAGGGACGAGGATGGGAGCATGAGGCGGCAGCCAGACACCGACCACACTGCCAGCCCTCTCAGCTTCCACCCCACGGCAAAACGCCAGTTGTCCGGCGACCAGCATATGCAGGCAACTGCTCCCGTGTCTTCTAGTGAGTAGCTGCAGAGGGCAGGAGAGGGTTATCGGAAAGGGACGAGGATGGAGCATGAGGCGGCAGCCAGACACCGACCACACTGCCAGCCTCTCAGCTTCCACCCCACGGCAAACGCCAGGTTGTCCGGCGACCAGCATATGCAGGCAGCTGCTCCCGTGTCTTCTAGTGAGTAGCTGTTTGTAGTGGGAGGGTTTTAGGGAAGAGGATGAGAGATGGGAGCATGAGGCGGCAGCCAGACATGCACCACACCCTTGGGCTTCCCCCACCTCACCGCGAAGGCTAGGTTGTCTGGCGACCAGCATATGCACGCCGATGCTCCCGTGCCATCCAGTGAATAGAACGGGAGAAAGGAGGGAGCATGATGGAGGGAGGGGTGGGGAGACAGGAGGGGTGGGGAAAGGAAGGGGTGGGGCAATGGAGAGGACTGAGAATGGGGCACGGTGATTGGGAGCCGTCTGCAACGGCGAAACACTCCACGGTGCCTCTACTCCAAGCAGCAAGTTCCAAACAAAACAAACAACAACAGAAAAGCACCACATACCCCCAGTCAAAGAGAGAGATGGTGCGTAGATGCAAGGAGCTCCGGGCGAGGTCAAACAGCTCGACCGTGCCTCTCCTGCTGCCCACGGCCAGCAGCTGCTGCCTGGCCCCAACAGCCACTGTGGCGGCGTCCACACACCCACCCACTTCTCTGGAGTCACCTCTTCCACGGGCCTCAGCCCCTCTCCCCAGTAGAGCACAGCACCACTCTCCCGTCTAGCAGCACCACTGCTATCAGGCGTAACAACGGGGAGTATACCATCTGCGCCACTCCTCCCCCTCCCGCTCCTCTCCTGCTCCCCCTGCCCCTCCGCCTGGGTCTGACCCCGTGAAGCTGCTGCGGCCGTTTGGGGTGGTGGAAGGCAGCATTGAGGGCGGGCGGGGAGGAGGGTAGGGGTAGGAGGAGGAGGAGGGAGGAGCGCGGGAGTGGGGTGCTTGGGAGGCCGTTGGCTTCGGGCACGTACATGGGGCCGATCACCTCCCGGCTGTGCTTGCGCCATAGGTCCGCTGTGCCGCGCAGCTGGGAGGAGGGGAAGAATGAGGAAGAGGAGATGGGAGGTGGGAGACGAGAGGAGTAAAGGGAGGAAAGGAAAATGGAGGAGGGAGGGAGGAGGGAAAGAGAAAATGGAGGAGGGAGGGAGGAGGGAAAGAGAAAATGGAGGGGAGGAGAAAAGGCAGCGGGAGAGGAGAGGAGGGATGAGGTGAAGCACGCACGTAGGCCCAATCAGCTTCTTCGCTCACCTGCCCCAGCTCTTCCCACACCTGCCCCAACTCTTCCCTCACCTGCCCGAAACTCTTCCCTCACCTGCCCCAACTCTTCCCTCACCTCCCCAACTCTTCCCTCACCAACTCAGTCTACTTTCTCACCTGCCCCCGCCAGGAAACAAGGTGCAGGCGGCCACTGGACAGGCCCAGCAGAATGTGGTCCTCGTCGGCCACCATGCCGTTGCTGGGGCACGGACGGGGAGGGGGGGGTAGGAGGAGGCGGGAGGGCGGGTGGGGGGAGGGGAGGGAGAGGGAGGGGGGAAAGGGTGCGGGGGGTTGGGAAAGGATCTGGACAGGCCCAGGAGAATGTGGTCCTCATCTGCCACATGCCGTGCTGGGGGGAGATAGAGGAGGGGAGGGAGGGGGGAGGGAGGTGGGGGTGTGAAGGAGGAGGGGGGTGGGGGATGCGGTGACGGGTTGACAAGGAGGGGAGGGGCAGGGGCAGCGGAAGGGAATGGAGAGGAGGGGCACCCTCTGTGAAGATGGAGGCAACCTTGCGAACGTGCAGCCAGAGCGTTGGCAAGTGAAAAGACGAGTGCCATACAGGGGAGATCAACATGTGAGCTACTGGTCCATTACAACAGCAATACAATAGTGAGTGAAGCGGCGTACATCGAGACGTCGTCCCCGAAGAGCGGCACGCGCGTGGAGGAGCGGAACTTGAGGGCGAGCAGCGAGGGGGGGAGTCTGGCGACACCAGGCGCAGCGGCTTGGGAGTGGTGCGCACATCGTAGAAATGAAGCACGCTGCCCGCCGTCTGGAGGAAAGGGTTGGGGGGGGAGGGAGAGGGTTAGATGGGGTAAGAGGAGAAAGGGTGACACGGGGAGGAGAGGCGGAAGTTTGGTGAGACGAGATGGAGCAGCTTGGGTGTGGTGCGCACATCGTAGAAATGAAGCACGCTGCCTGCCGTCTGAGGGAGTTTAAGAGGCGGGGAAAGAGATGAGAATGGAAGAGGGGAGGGGAGGGGGGAGACAGAAGTATTTTGAGTCGACTCAAAATACGTCTGAGGGAGTTTAAGAGACGGGAAAGAGATGCGACATGGAAGAGGGGAGGGAGGGGAGACAGAAGGAAAGGCAGAGGATGACGTGAGCGGTTGAGTAGGAGGTCCAAGAAGATCAATGGAGGTCCACGGAGGTCTATGGAGACTGATGTAGATCAGAAGACAGTTTAAGAACTGGCGAGCAGGCTTCAACATACCACACTGTCAGAATTCTCAACATACCATCACAACCAGATCTCCAGCATACCAGCACAGCGAGGGTCTCGACAGCTTCGTTCCATATGGCATGAGCATTGCCCCGTCTTCTTCCAGCGACTTTCATCTCGCACGAATTCGCCAAGCTCACCCGTGCTGGCGACGTTGAAGGGAGAGCCGTAAGAAAAACACGGGGAAAAAGAGGTGTAAAACAGAGGATCAAGGGAAAAGGCTGCCAAACAGACCAGCTGTTAGGGTTGCGCGTCTATTGTAGGCATTGTTTTGGAAACGGAGAAGTGATTCCAGGCCACAGTCAATAAACCATGCTGCCAAACCAGGAAACGTCCTTAGAACCATGGACTGCGTTACACATGGCGAAAGCCTTAAGACTTAATCCTAGCTGACTGCTTGAGCTTCACTTTCGTTGATCTCCTTGAAAGGCTGCTGGTCCTTACGCGTCGCTCGAACACTAACCTGGCCTGAGGTCCATAGTTGAATGCAGGAGGAGTGAACGACGATCAAGAGCCCACGCTGATCTCCACGTGGACCACTGGATCGTCGGGACCGCGAGTCGTTCGGAGAACCTTCGGCCATCCGTACGCGATATACATGGCCTCGTGCGACGCCGTTTTATCCTATTCTCTCGTCTGACTGTAGAAAAACTAGAGCTGGAATGTGAATGTTAGACATTCAACAACAGAATCGCGATCTCATGGCCGTTCCTCCTGTTCCCACTAATCAAGGCAGAGAACGCGAGACGTCTAGATGTATCTTAGTCTCCAGGTAACCCCCCATGATAAGCCTACTAGTCTAGCGAAAGCGTCTCGGCTCCGCATTATCTCCAGCAACCTAACACCATAATGGAACTGATGATGTTGGGCTTCCGCTTCGATCCTTATGAAACAACTACCATTCAGGAAGAGCAAGCCTAGAAACCAAGAGTCACATGCTAATAACCATAGTAGTCGAAACCTATAATTCGGTCACCTCTCAGACCATACGCTTAGAATCGCCAAGCAACACGTTCAGTAGAAACGAGTCTGTGGTCATGGCTTTCATCTCTCGAGTGACATTCTGCCTAAGTCCGCCACCAAGCACCAGCTTCATTCACTGGCTAGGGAGATACTGTAGCTGAACAAGACCACAAATGTTTGGATTAGTGTACAGTGATCTACAGTTACAAACTCGAATTCAACGTTCTCTATGTTCTGTTACGGTATCCAAAACTAGGTAACAAAATTGGTGCAACATGGAGCAAGGGAAGTACGCTGAACAGCTTGACAGGAAGCAATTATTACTTATTTACTCTCAGCTAAGGAACAGAACTGGATGTATTCCTAATAGCATGTACAGCTTGGGAGCCTAAGTAGTATCAATCAGAGAACCAGAGGAACTATACTTCTGGGGTTTCGCCCTTGTCAGCCGCAGATTTCTTGGGAAGCAAGACTGAGTGAATGTTTGGTAGAACACCACCAGCTGCAATGGTCACCATTCCCAAAAGTTTGCTGAGCTCCTCGTCGTTTCTCACGGCCAGTTGAATGTGTCTCGGAACGATGCGAGTCTTCTTGTTGTCTCTGGCTGCGTTTCCGGCAAGCTCCAAAACCTGAGGAAAATCAACCCGAGAAGAGGTCAGTTCCGTTATCACTCAAGTCTGACGAGAAAATACGCGAGAGGCTCACCATCAAGGCGACATGAAACGCACCTCAGCAGCTAGGTACTCGAGGACTGCAGCGAGGTAAACTGGAGCACCGGCACCCACTCGAGTGGCATATTTGCCTGCCTTGAGGAAACGGGCTATACGACCCACAGGAAACTGAAGTCCTGCCTTTGCTGATCGGCTCACGGCCTTCTTTCCAGCAGCCTTTCCGCGACCTGACATGATTGCTGAGAACTGAGAGGAGCGAACGGAGCGGACAGAGCGCACACGTAGAGCAAAGAGCGAGTAGTAAAGTTGGAAGCGAGCGGTGAAATCGAGCACGAGAGGTAAAAGTGTCTTCAGGAAACTGAGAATGGCTAGTGACGGAAACTGATTATCAACAGCGAAGTTCGAGGCGAGATTTATGACGCACGAAAGAAGGCTGGAGGGGCTGAGCAACGAGACAAACGAAGCTCGACCAATCATGACAATTTGAGCGGATTGACTACAAAACCGTCGGATAAACACCCTGGGGAAACCAATCGACGGTAAAGCGCGGCTCTCGATATGCTCGTCCACGAGATTTTCGAGGGGCCTATTGGAGAAACGGTGAAATCGATAACAAAAATGTACGTATCAAGGACAGTACAATTCATGAGGAACAAGTTTACGCAAGACAAAAGTCACTTTCCAATTGTACTTTTTTCCCTGGTGAGCAGAAGCGCTTCTAAGGCTGCAGTAAAAAATGCATTGTATAGACAATGTTACAGTGACATGAGGCAACATGGGCACCATGAGGACCACGCATCATTGATCACAAGCTTGATTGTCAGACGCAACAAGTACTGTATGTAGTTACCATGAGCCACTATATTTGTCAGGGACTGCATTCTGAAAATGGGCGTAGTTCCACTCTATGTTCAACGAAAATGGCTTCGATATTGTCACTCCCTCCGCAGTCACTTTTGAGATCTGCACAAACAAACGCATTCACACAAAAACACAAGGTTAGCCAGCCAGAAAATTGGCGAGCACTAAAACATAAGCACGCCCAGGCACACACACTGGGAGTTGAGATAAATCAGCTAACAAACCTGGAATTTGTTGAGAGCGCTGCTGTCGCGAGCGTACAGCACTCGCAGGCCCTTCTCCAGCAGCTTCACGGCCTCCTCCTCACTCATGTCGTTCCGATGCTCATTGCGGAAGAGCGGCCGCACCAGGTGGCTGCCGAAACCCGTCGCGATGTGGTCGTCCGTGAAGTGCACGCCTATCATCGTCACCTGCAGTGGGGAAATAGCGTTCGTGCGAAGATACAGGGCATATATAGATAACCTGGGTTACATTTCAGAGAGAGCAATGTGGTCATCTGTGCAGCGCCCCCCCTGTCAAGATGACCTGGGTGAGAAAGAAGCGCAGAGCAAGCTGGGTTGGAGGACAAGAACGGAAATCGGGACCTCGCGGAAAGAATAGAGGCATGTAGAAACAGCTAAACCGCATACAAAAGGGGTTACGGATTTACGGATCAACAAACGGCAGCATGATGTTCCGGTGCAGGTCACGGAACTTACCGAGCCAAGGAAGGGTTCGCCCTTGTCCAGCCCACCGATCACAATGGAGTTCCAGAGCGGGTCGAAGCGGTTGCGGCGGTTGTACATGACCCGCGTCATGTAGTTGAACACCTCTCGTGTGGACAGCACATGGCCATCGTCAAATGCATAGTCGTTCGTGCTGTGTAGGGTGGTTGCGGGTTGGGAAATCAGGGGATAAAAACGTAAAATCCAGGAGCCTTAGAATGGGTTGGAAGTGTCTACTGAAGCAATTATACGAAGGGTTGCGGCAGTTGTACATGACCCTTGCGATGTAGATAGAATATGTTAAGAGCAAGTCACTCACAGCAGCTCCTCATATAGCGAGAGGATGAATTGAAAGTCACTGATCTCCCCACCAGCTCCCATGACCGTCTGAGGAGCCACCTGCTTCATGCGCTCCACGCTCTTGTACCTCATGGTGCGGCCGTAGGCGCCTGGATGGGGGAGGGGGAGGGGAGGAGAGGGGGGGATAAAAAAGCAACGTTAGAAAGGGGAGCCAGTCGCTTTATGTGCTCCACAGTGTTGCACCTCATGGTGCGGCCGTAGGCGCCTGGATATGGGTCGAGGGGTGGGTAGGAGGAAGAGGAGAAGCAAATCAATCTGACGAAAGAAGGGAAAAGTTGCGAGAGACAGAAACAATGAAACATCTGGATTTGTGCGTAGGTAGGCTCCACGCTCTTGTGCCTCTGGGTAAGAGGCAAGACAGGAGATTCAACGGAGAAGAAGCACTCGGAACTCAAAATTGTTTTTCAATAACTACTGACACTCCCCCTTCCCCCTCTCCCTCTTCCACCCCCTACTCCCTTCCTCCAGACACAAACAGACACAGCAGTACTGTGAACATACCCATGGTATCAGCTGCCATGATAATGCCGTCCTTATACTTCATAGCGATCACAGACGCACCCGTGACATACGGGTACCTTCAGGCAACGAGGAGAACACGGAGAATTTTCAAAAACACCCAGCAGGGGATGAGTTGCAATGGACAAGAGCGACGGGGAAAAGATCAAGGGTAAAGCAAAGCAGAGAGGTACCCAAGGGATGAATCTCGGACCTCGCATGCTATAACTCACGCACAACCCCAGAGCCTTGTGAATCCTTGAATTTAGTTGAAGTGATTTCGGTAGATTTCACGCAACTGAATGCGTGCACGGAATCTCGAGCGACCATGATTAACCAGATGGGATACGGCGAAGACAAGGATACGACCCAGACAAGTCGACAACTTCCTAGAACCAAACCTAGAATCGTGTGACCTGGAAGGATGAGAAGGAAAATTACAGAGGACCACCGGTCATGCGAAATGACTCACTGCGTGTGCTTCACCGGATCTAATCCGCGATCTACGGGAACCATCGGGCCGCACATGATGCCGGTTCGCTCGCTACCAGGAACCACCTTCTCGTCCGCTCTAACCTTCCCGCCATGCGCGGGTCCGTGAAACATCTCCGGGAGCTGAGGAGGGCCGGGCGGGATGCCGAATCCGCGGTACTCGTGCCGGATCATGCTGCTTTGGGAGATTAAAGTCGGCGATAGATGTCTGAACAACCAGGGAGGATCAACGCAGTGCCTAGGATTGATGCTCCTCTTGGACTATGTCAGGCGTGAGCTTATGTGGTGCGCAAGGCTTGTCCTCGATATAGGGCTGAAACACCGTTGTCCTCCGTGAACGATAATGTAGTAAGCTTATATGGTTGAGCAAATTTGTCTCATGTCTGGCAGGTTTCATAATTTGTTATATGGTATATGAAATGGTGAATCAGTTGGATGTGGGATTAGGAAACCACTTACAGAACAAGCGGTGTAACTGAAGGGTGGATGAAGTTGATACTAGAGAAGCAACCATAAGGGCCCCTGATTGGCTATGTGCTGTTATTACAACGAAGAGCATCTTGTTTTCCCAACGGAAGAATATTCAGTCGTATCCTGACGTGGAAAGGTTTACCCACTCCTGGGACCCCGTACCCTCCAGCGCATGAGCCCTCCAGCAAACCTTGGCAAACCCCAGTTTTGGTTTGGAGTTGGTGTGGAAAGAATCGAGCGATGGTGATTCCTTGACCAGGTCAACAGGTCAACGGTTGTTCTGAGGGACAAGCGGTTTGCCGAAAGCAACTACACCCTAAATACCGTTTGTCTCAAATCACGTAGCATCAAAAAGCGGATACAGTCATTACCAAGTTCGGCATCTTATCACATGAATTTATGGAATTTCACCATTGCCCTGGACCAAATATGGCTTAGTGTGGGAAAAACCACAGACCTTAACGGGTTGAGCTGCTGATTCCAGAAGCTCCTCGTCGCGTGAATCCTCCATTCGGAACATTCTGTTTCATTCTGTCGAGAGTTGACAGTTCCCTACAGTCGCGGGTCTTTCGGGTTGTTGCGATCCCTTCCACGTGTGTGTGTGTGTGTGTGTGTGTGTGTGTGTGTGTGGGTGTGTGTGTGTGTGTGTGTGTGTTGGTGTGTGTGTGTGTGTGTGTGTGTGTGTGTGTGTGTGTGTGTGTGGTGTGTGTGTGTGTGTGTGTGGTGTGTGTGTGGTGTGTGTGTGGTGTGTGGTGTGTGTGTTGTGTGTGTGTGTGTGTGTGTGTGTGTGTGTGTGTGTGTGGTGTGTGTGTGGTGTGTGTGTGTGTGGTGTGTGTGTGGTGTGTTGGTGTGTGTGGTGTGTGTGTGTGTGTGTTTGTTGTGTGTGTGTGTGTGTGTGTGTGTGTGTGTGTGGTGTGTGTGTGTGTGTGTGTGTGTGTTGTGGGTTTTTTTTTTAAACAATGTTTGACTCCCACTGGTTTCCCTCCATGTGCGACCAAACACTCGTCACTCCAGAATACACCCCTACTTCTTCGGGGACTTGGAAAATACCCCTGGCGGTCGGTTCCCCAGGCGGTCACGTACAATCACATTCCGGAAAAAAAAAAACCAAAAAACGCTGCTAGCCTGACATACACGCGGGAGCCTAACGAAGAAGAGGGTGTATCTGAGGTTGCCCGTGCTTCTGGTGTAATCCGAACACGTCAGACCGGTGTGCCACGTCTGCAGATATCCACGGTGCTGGCTTCCGGAAGCGCCGCAGGCCTATAATCACCGTCGATCTTACCCGACGTAACCCGAGCGATTTCTGAGTAGCCAATCAAAAGCGGCGAACGATCACCCCACAGTTCCCGCATCCTGGCTTTGTTTTTGCGACTCCCACGGATTCTGTGGCGGACCTGCCTTCCCTGAGCCACGGCCACCGTGCCTAGAAACTTGCGTGAAGTGGGGCGTTGGGCCAAGCGTGTCGCTCTGCCCGCTGACACGTTCAATGCTCTGCAAACGAATCGCTGACGGGCAAACAAATGTGCATCCTTCTCGAGAATGACCAAACACACTGCACTATTGCCCCTTTCAAGCTTATCCACTGTTCAATTTCCCGTCAACGCTACTGACCGAGATCCATTGTTCAAACCCAGTCTGGTGCTCAACGCACACAACTGACAGTCGCGGAAAACCAGGAAACCAGCTAGTTCGACGCACCGCATCTGGAAAATCTCCAAAAACGTCTGACCCATGGGACATGCCCCGGGATCTCGGGTCAAACAAACCCCCGGAGTTTGCAATTCATCCCCCTTTTACCCTCTGTTCGCCCCACACAACCCACCCGCCGCGCGTTTCCCACTAGAGTCTTTCCCCGTCGCAGCCCGCTGGAAAATTCCGCAGATGCCCGTAACGGATGTATGCGCGCCTAGCTGTTCGCTGCCCCACGCAACTGCGGACGAATCGAATGGATGCATGGCCAGGGCGCTGGTCCGCTCCGCGCAGGACAGGTCACAGGAACCCTCCTCGCTGTGCTTTGCTCTACTTGGCTCTGCTCTGCTCCCTACACCTAGCGGCATACGGGCCGACAGCAGCAGCAGCGCATACCAATCATTTCCCCGCCTACCCGCCTGGTCCTCCTGACCAGTCCATTCATCGAGCTCTGTTTCCCGCGTTTCTCCCCCCATCAAACCGTTTCTGCTCCTCGCCTGTTTCTCCAACCTGAAATGCTAGACCACCTGCCATGGCTGGAGCAGATTGTAGTGGTAGCAGCCTCCTTCAAGGGCAGCCAGCAGTAGGAGGCCCTGTTTTCCATCGCAACTGGACATTATTTAGTGCCATCGTCGCAGTTGAGTCGGTCAGAATGTTCAATTTGGGACTCAAGGCGTCAATCATGGCCGCGGTTTGCAGCCCGGCGTCTCCCGCTCTCAGCTAGCCGGACCATTTATTGATTCTTGTCGACCTGTGGCTTCTGGTGGATATGGCTGGTACCTTTGGCGGGATTGTCGCCGCGATCGACGGTCCGCGGAGCATCTGCGCGAGTCTTTGGGCGATCCGACACTGACATCTAACAACACTGAGCAGCTGACATCTATACTGACATTTTTTATTAAGCCTTTATTTTTCTCCGCAGCCTTCTTCGTTCTCCGCCCTTTTTGTAAAAATCAAGATCAGTCATGACCAGCGCAGCGCCTTCAGCAATGGCTTCCCGCGTCGCGGGGTCTCCAACCCCGCTTCTTGACCGCGCCGCTTCATCGTTTCTCAGCGGGCGGCCTACTTTGTCGTCTTCCTCCACCAGCTTCTTCCGCGGATCAGCATCCCGGTCGCGCGGCGGTCTTTCCTCGAAGAATCGTGGTGCTTCTCCTTCACGCATCAGTAAAAAAGGCGTGCCGCTCGTTAAAGCCAGAATCGCCCTCGCGCCGGCTCTTCGGAGCGTGGAGCTGATGACTCAGCACCAGCGTCTACGGAACGTGGACTTAGTGACCCAGCACCCGTGCGGCTCGGTCGTCGTGCTCAAGGCGCCCGGCGCTGCGGTCGATTAAGCGCTTAATCTCCGCCGTCGCCGCGCGCCCCGCGGCTTCCCGCACCGACTCTGGCGAGACTTCTGCTGGCGAAAACGAAGCGAGATGCGACTGCCGCGACTCCTGTGGGCGGTCCGTCCGAATTGATCCGCCAGCACGTCGAGGAACCGCAATCGGCGGCGGTCGAGGATCGTCTTCGAGCGCTTGAGTCTCAAGGCGCGCTGCGCAGGCGCGCGCTGGCGCGCAACGCCGCTGAGCTCGGATTTGGTCGGCGCGGCGGCGGCGGAAGCCGCAAGGCGAAGTCGAAATCGCCTCTCTGGTTCCTCGGAGAGGCTAGTGGCGGCGGAGTGAGCGTGGACGGTGGCGCGAAGGGCGGCGCGCAAGGCGGCGCGCCTGCAGCAGCGAAGGGGCCCGAGTCGCGCGTGTACGACGCGACGGCCGTTGGCGAGCCGGCGCTGATGGGCGAAGGGCGTCTGGGCAGGCGGCGGCGCGGGTGGTTTACTTAGGGGAAGCCGAGATGGTCCGCGATCCGACGGACAAGGTGAGGGCTGACTACTGAGTTCTATGTCAGCTTATGATCTGACTGCCGCATGTTGCGCCCGTTGTCGCCTCTGGAAGATTAAGGCTTTTTTTTTTTTTTTTTTTAAGCCCGCCTGTTTCCCCTTTCGCCCTCGCCAGTAACCGTTTCTCCCCTCAAGTAAAGCATCTCCCGCCGCGTTTCTCCCCTCAATTAAAGCATCTCCCGCCGCGTTTCTCCCCTCAATCAAATTTCTAGGTTGTGGCTCTGGAAATCGTGCGCCGATTAAGAGACGATTGCTTCAAGGCGGGCCGCCCCGTCACGCTCGCGCTCTCCGCGTTTCCGCGAACCACGCAGCCGCTGCTCGACAAGTATCTCGGCAAGAGGTGAGGACGGGCTCCTCGTACGCGATACACTGGCTCGCTGTACCATTCTCTGCGAGATAAAATTGTAAAAAGCTTTTGGCCTTTTTTTTTTCCAACGGTCTAATATATTTCGCCACGCCCTTTTTTCGGCTGCTCCGCTCCCAGGCTGTCAGAAGAGGACCTCCAGGTGGCGGTCAGCCATTGGTCGAAGGGGCGGTTTGAGGAGATGGTTCCGCTGCTGCGGTACTGCCGCGATTCGGGCGTCCGCCTCTTCGCGTGCGGCGTGCCTCCCAAGGTGAGCGGCGCGCCATGGCTCTTGCTCCCTTCCTTCCTTCGAGGGCTCGTGGAAGTCTACGGCTTGTAGAATCATGGCCTCGAGTCATTGGCCGTTGCTTCCCTTCTTGCTTCCCTTCTTGCTTCCCTTCTTGCTTCCCTTCTTGCTTCCCTTCTTGCTTCCCTTCTTGCTTCCCTTCTTGCTTCCTTAGCTTCCTGTCTTCCCTCATGGGAGCATGCGGCGCATAGTTTCCCACCCCCAGCTCCTCAACCTCCTCCTTCCCGGCTCTGATTTCTTTTCTTTGCCCGCCGCTCCAGATCCTGCGTACGGTGCAGGCTGGCGGCGTGCAGGCCCTGGCTCCCATCGACCGCCAGCGCTACGCCCCGCCCCTCGGCGGCTTCGCCCCTCCCTCCCCCACCTCCTCCTCTCTCCCCTCCGCGACAACTGACCCACCGAGCGCCACTGCAGCAGGCGCTACTGGCGCTACTGGATCCGGCCTGTGGGGCCTGGAGCCGGCGGCGGTGGCGGCGGAGGTGTATTCGAGGGAGGCGGGTATCGCGCACGTCGCTGCCGTTCGGCCCGGGACCGTACTGGTTCGCGCAGGCGCGCGTGGTGGAGCAGCACGCCATGGCGCCGCAGCATCGACCAAAGCCATGGCGGACGGTGGGATTGTCGGCCTGCTGGTGGTGCTCACGGGGGCGTCGCAAGTGCGGTACGGAGCGCAAGGGACCGGCGTCCCTGCCCGGATCAAACAACGGGCAGCTGAAAAACTTCCGCCGCCTCGCAACGCCATCGTCCTGCTCAACCCCGAGCGGCAGCGCAGCCGGGCAGACTCCGAGCTGCCACGAGGCCGACTTCTTCTGGTACTCGGGCAGCCGGGATGTGCACGCACAACTGTTTCGACCGGGCAGAAATCGCGCGCGTCATGGGGGCAGCCGGGAGAACTTTTGACAACCTGCCCCCAGGACCTACAAACGGGGATAGAGCGCGGGCTGATCTCCCCAGACACCCTTCGGTCCTTCTTCGAGCTCGAGAGCCACCCGCTGGTCGCCGAAGCGACCAAAAGGTTCCAAGGGTTGAGGGAGAGAGTGTACGCCGACCCGCGGTTTCTCCAGCGGATTGTGACTGAGGAGGCGATCAGTATTACCACGGCGATGCTGGCGCAGTGGGAGAAGCGGCGCGAGCGGTTCTGGTCGGAGATCGAGTACGTGGCGACCGACGTGCTGCGCGGCACTATTGTCAACTTCTTCACGGTGTGGCTGCCCGCCCCCACCCTCTCCTTCACCTCCTCTACTGCTGTCTCCACACTAGCCGGCTCAGCAGCAGCCGGAGCAGCAGCAGGGGCGGCAGGGGCGGCGGGGGCGGCGCAGGGGCCGGTGCAGCAGGCGCTGGGGGGAGTGAGCGCGTGGGCGGCGACTCTCCCAAAGAATGCGTTCCAGCGTGCTACTCCAGCCCGGGCAGGTGTGGGGGCCTGCAGGAGAGGCTGGCGTCCATCCTCTTTACAAGCGGGAAGCTGTTCACTGTTGGGTTTTCGGCGAGTGTGGGCACTGTAGCGCTGAACAATCTCTTTATGGAGGTGAAGAACCGGCTCGCGGACATGTCTGCTGCTGCTGGTGCTGCTGGTGCTGCTGCTGGTGGCAATGCGTCTGCTGTGCTTCCTGCTGCTGCTTCTAGCAGTGGTGTGGTGCAGCGGTCGCCTGTGCTGAAGACAGCAGCGGTGTACGGTGGCTTCCTGGCGACGTCAGCCAACCTCCGCTACCAGGTCAGTCTCCGTGCTCACCTGCGTTATCTGTGCTCACTGCTTGAGGAGTCTATTTTTTTGGCGCCTCAGGAATAGAGTCTCTGGGCTCACTGCTCGCCCCACTTTCTTCAGTTGTTGCCGGTCTCCTCCCCTGGCTCCACCTGCTTCAGTCCCATGGCTGATATTCCACGTGTGCTTGTCCACTTGTGCTTGTTCACGCATGCTTGTCCACTTGTGCTTGTCTACTTGTGCTTGTCCACGCATGCTTGTCCACGCGTGCTTGTCCACGTGTGCAGTGAGCTTATCCTAAAAACTGTGGGCCCTCTTTTCCTCATGTCCCCTGTTCAGGTGATAGGAGGGGTGGTGGAGCACTGGATTGCCGACTACTACCTGGCAGCCAACCCCATGGCGGGTGCGGCGCTGTCCTTCGTGGCCCGCACCGTCAACTCCTACTGGGGCACGTCCCAGTGGGTCGACCTCGCCCGCTTCTGCGGCCTCCAAACCACTGCCTCCCAGTCCTCTTCCTCTTCTGACGCTGCTTCTGCCAACGCGTTACCAGCAGCATCAGCAGAAGCAGCAGCAACAGCAGCGGCAGAAGCGGCAGCAGCGTCAGCAGCAGCAGCAGCAGCGTTGGAGCAGGCATACTCGGCGTCCCCCTCAGGCTTCCCTGCGCTGACCCCAATCCCCGTGCTGGTCAACTCTCCCCTCTACGCTGCTGCCAGTGCCGGCGTTCCTGCCTTTGAGGCCTGGCAGTATGCCGCGCCTGCCGCTGCTGCCAGCTGAAGCTGCAGCCGACAGGGCCGTGGCTGCTGAGAGGGTAGCAGCAGCAGAAGCAGCAGCAGAAGTGGCGGAAGTTGTGGCCGAGAAAGCAGCAGCAGCAAAAGCTGCAGCTGAGGAATCGGTCGAAGCTGGAATCACTTGTACAAGATGACTCTGATTCGGAGCTCCTCCCCTTGGGAATACCCGCTCTCCCCGAGCAAATCTCCTCTTTCTCTGTCTCAGAATCGGGCGAAGCTCTCTCCCCTGCGACTGCAGCCCAATTGCTTGAGGAGCCGCACCAGGCAAGCTGCTACTGACGCTCTTGTTGACTCACCCCAGGAGTCGTTGCTCGGAGTGCTTGCAGAGACAGAAGCAACGGGGGTTCAAGACAAAGACGCCTTGTTTGAGGCGGTGGAGCTGTCGGTGCCTCCTCTCCCCCCATGGCGCGCTGATCTCTCTCGAGCCCGTGTCAATGTCAGGGGAAGTTGAGTTGCTGCCTTCCCTGGGATGACTCCGTCTCCCCTCAGTTCCCTAGTCTTGATTCGGTGCCTCTGGCCGATGCCCTTTCCTATCTCGACTCCCTTCCTACTCTCGATTCTCTCCCTTCGCTGACTCCAATCCCCTCTCTTGACTCGCTTGCTCGTGTGACTCGCGTTCCGAGAGTAAGCCATTGGATGCGGAGGACGAGGCAGTATCAGCGTCGGTCATTGAACCCGGGGTCGTGATGGTGGCTGTGGATGATCCTGCTGTGGCAGTGCTGGGTGTGCAGTCGGCCCTCTGTTCTCACAGCAGCAGCAGTGCCAGCAGCAGCAGCAGCAGCAGCAGCAGCAGCAGGAGCGGGGTCGGAGCCAGCAGCGGTTTTGAAAGCTCTGGGCTCTACGCCAGGTGATGAGAAATTCTGCCCGCCGCGGGATGCAGTGGCGCGTGAGCATGAGATGGTGGGGGGGGGGGTGTGAGAGTGAGAGTGAGATTGAGTGCGGAATGGGTGGAGTGGGTGGAGTGGGCAAGTGTGGTTTGAGTGCATGGTACTGCTGGTTGGCGGGGTGCATCTGTACGTAATGGCATATCAGTTGCAGCAGAAGCAGCGGCTGGGATGCATGGGCTGGCACGCAGCAGACGGACGAGGATAGAGAGTAGGTGAACCAGACGCAGGAAACCGCCAGGGGTATGCTGCTTGATGAAGTAGCACACCCCTGCAAGGTAAGTGGCTGGATGCAGCCGTGGGCACGTAGCAGCAGCAATGGAGGGGAAGGATGAGGCTGTAGCAGCAGGCTGTGGGTTTCAGCAGCTGTGGCTTCAGCAGCTGTGGCTTCAGCAGCAGAAGCTGCTGAAGGGGCAGCAGCAGAGGCAATGGATGCCCTAGCAGCAGTGTCAGGGTTGATTCTTGGCACGTGTATGTGCAGCAGGAGGGCAAGGAGCAGGCTGGAGGGTGCGACCGGATGTGCACTGCACTCGGGTCTACGGATGAGTCAATGTGAGAGCCGGTGGCTTTAATAAGGGATGGGAGGACTGGCGATTGAGCCATCTCTGAGGATTGAGTCCTCGTATCGTTGCTAGCTAGAGGCGCAACTGGTAGGGGGTTGAGGAAGGGATTATATTGTTAGGGGTTTGGGGTTTCTGAGTAGTGTATAGACTAAAGGTGTTCTCCTGTTAGTTGCTTTGCCCTGCCCTGAACACCGAGTGTGAATTAGGCATTGCTCCTTAATTTTACCTTTCATTTATCCCTTGTACTGTATGAGAACCCGTGGGTGAGGATGGTACTGGCACTACTGTACCAGCCAATGTGCTGTATCCTGAATATACAGGGCACACTTCACAGGAGCAGCGAGCCCTGAGGCGGATTCATACACCAAGACACATCCTGATCATGTTGCCCCCTCCAGGTTCCATCATTACATGGAATGCAAGCTGCAAGGAGCTGTCAAATGAATCAGGGTGTATTCCTACAGCCTCGTGTCAGACTAACCTTGCATCAGACATGTCATTTTGCAAGCGCATGCTGCATGGTCTGTCACATCACAAGGCAGCCAATACAGGTGTTGGAAATATCTCAAGGACTTAAGCGTTTCTGAAGTGTAACACTGTACTCGAGGAAGATTACAGGGGAGCACGCGAGTCAACGGAGGTTACACGAGGGGGCGGACAAAGAATGCGAAAGGACTCGAAAGGTCGCAACTGGAGGTTGCGACTGACCGTTACAACATCACGGATGGTAACCGAAGCGGCAATCGAGTCGCTGTGCGACTCGATAAACCGTTCCTGTAACTGTATTCTACAACTGCTTTCTTATCTTCTATATATTGCTGTATGCTTGTTTCTTTAATCAATCACTTGTTCTCACATACTAGTACAAGGGTTCAACTGCCTCAACTTCCGCTGCACTACTCCAAGTCTCAAGTCTCTACAGCTGGGACTTAGTCTCTGCAAAAGATCCTAAGGGCTTTTCTCAGCCCAACATGGTATGAGAGCTGGTCAGAGACCAAACTCCCAGCAACTACGCTCCATCAACAACCTGCAACTCAACTTGATTCAACAACTCCATTGATTACAAGACATGGACAACAAGGGCAAGAAAGTCTCTACGGGCTCACCCAGCGCCCAAGAAACTCAACACGGCAACTCTGGTCTGCACACCTCAGGACTGCAGACAGAGACCGGGACTGCTCAAGAAACAACGGGAAGAGTACCAGAGATGGTGACTCCGTCTCCCTCTTCAAGTGTGGACCCGAATCTCATGGAGAGATTCTTCAGCTTCATGTCACACTTCGACCAGCAGCAGCAGACAAGGACACCTGCGCACTCAACACAGAGCAATGGAGGGAATATGGGATTAGCGCCGATGAGCCTCGACAACTCATCCTTCGGGCGACACAACCAAGCGCCTACCTTTGCGCCTTATCATTCTTCGCCGGGGACGTTCGAATTCATGCCGCCCCGTGCCCAGCCAACAGCAGCTGCATCACAACAAACACCGAATGAAATCTTAAGTTTACAGGCGCAGTTCTCACACGTGATCAAACTTCAGACATCCTCACCGTTCAACGGACACGACTTCTTTACCTGGAGCTTCGAGTTCGAGCTGCTGATGGAGGCCGCGCATCTTCTGGGATACTTCAACGGGTCCCTGCCATTCCCAAGCAACGGCACTGGAAGGAACAAGAGATCTTCACGTATCAGTCGCTGCTGGCGTACACGGTACTCCTGAGAAACCTGTCACCACAAGAGCAGCAGAGCATCAGAACGTATCGGAGTTATGGAAACTCCGCGGAGCTCGCATGGCACCACCTCAAGTGCCTTTACCAAGCAAACGACAGCGTGACACAAAGCAGACTCATGCAACAGCTGACAACAATACAGATGAAGACCGGGGAAAAGGCGATGCAGTATATGAGTCGCTGCCAGACCCTCCGCGACCGCCTGCTTCGGTGCGGAGGAACGATCACTGAAGAAAGCTTCGTGACACTTGTCCTCGCCGGGCTCGGGCCAGAATGGAGAACCACACGATCACTTCTTCGAGCCCACGGAAGAATTTCGGAGATGCACCTCTGCGCCGAGCTTCACGCTGAACAACAGGAGATGGATCTGTTCGAGGAAAGACAACCAAGGAAGCAACAGCAGTTAGTCTTCTACACTCAAAGAAGAAATGACAACAACTACAACCGACGCAGCAAGCAAGATCAACGCGACAACCGAGGACTCACCATCGTGCCGCCGTTCTGCCACAACTGTCAGACTTCCGGGCACTCCAAGGTCAACTGCAACCGCCCTCGCGTTTACCGTGCAGCAGACCCACAAGTCGCTTCCACTCAAGCAAGTCCTCCAAGGCGCTCTTCAACATCTGCACAACAAACACCCAACATCATCAACTGCATGGTACACATCGACAACTGCGCACCCGCTTCACCACCCACTTACGCACCAGACGAAGAGGAATTCCCGCCGCCGCGCTCGCAAGGACTTCAGGTCAACCCGACATACGCTGCAGTCGCAACGCCGAACCCACCGGGCGAAACACCTGGTTCTTGGACAGTTGCTGCGGTCACACATGTGCTCCTCCGGACGCTTCGTACAACACGAGCGACGCCTCAACCGCGACGTCGTCATCACCGTCGCCAACAACGAAAACCTGAAAACAAACAGACAAGGCGTGGTTCAGTTACAATCAATGGAGACAAACGTTATTCTTCAGCTCAACAAAGTCCTCATCGTCGACAATCTGGGATACAACCTACTAAGCGTAAGCCAACTAATGGCTAAGGGGATTCACCTGGAGTGCGACTCCTTCTCCAACGAGTTCCGACTTTACCACGGGAAGGGCGGCCTCTTCATCGGTCGTGCCCTCCTGAAGTCCGGTGTCTTCGTGTTGGACTTCGTCCCCGACCGCGGAACTGCCGACAGCGATGGCATCGTATCGTTCGCCGCCTGGACTCACCCGCCGGATCTTGATCCCGACTTCGACAGTGACGGCTTCTGGCACTCCAACACCATACCTGCAGCAGAGAGAACACGAGCATTAGCAGTTATCAGACAAGAAAGACAAGTACCCGCAAGTGTCCCAACAAAACCATCACCTGCAGTATCGGCAGCAGGACCCAGCCGAGTACCACCACCATCAACACGAGGACCGCCAACGAAGCAGACCAACTTATGCCCGCCACACGAGAAGCTTGTCGAAGTCCCGCCTCGGTCGTCGCGTTCTTCTCCAACGCCGACATCTACCACCGCTCGCCCGGTCACGCGCTCCCGACGACATCTGGCACCAACGCCTCGGACATCCTGCAAACAGCACAATACTTCAAACAATCCAAGCAGAGGTGTTAGAACGCAACGCCCTTCTAACGACGAGCGGCCAAGAACTTCGACGACCAGCGCACGTGCTTCACGTGCCCCGAAGCAGATCTTCCTCATCAACCTTTCCCATCCCATCACAATCCAAGCGCACCTCACTTACGCCGATGGAAAAGTCTACAGCGATATTCTTAAACATGCCTCGAGACGACACGAAGCCGACTTCAACTACGTCATCACTTCGTCATCACGCGCAACCAGATACGTCTGGCACTTCAATCTCAAAACGCGCGATCAAGCCTTCGAGCCTTCACACATGGCTCCCATCGCCGAACGGAATCAGGAACCAAACTCAAGAGTTTCCAGTCAGACGGTGCACTGGAATACCAGTCACAACGCTTCAGGACCTATCTGGCGGAAAGGGAATCAGACGCCTGGTGTCCCTGCCCTATGCTCACCAGCAGCAGGGGGTAGCAGAACGCATGAACCGGACCTTGCAGACGACGATGCGAAAACTGCTTCTGGGGATGAGGCTGCCCAAACACTGTGGCCAGACGCGATGACACATGCAGTCCACCTGCACAACCTGTTGTCCTCGTCATCGCTCCCAACAACGCATCACCGCACCTGCTGTGGACGGGAAAAAGGGGCAGCACAAAATTACTTCGAGTTTTCGGCTGCATGGTACAATACAGACCCCACACAGCTCGAGCAGGACGCTTCACTCAACGAGCTCGGTGGGGACTACACCTCGGCATCGCCAAACATTTTCACGCGTGGAAGATTCTCGACATACAAGACAAAAATACGGTGGCATCACGTGATGTTATCTTCTACGAGCGACTGACGCTGCAGCATTACCTGGACAACATTGCCAACTCAGACGACCCCACCGACGGCTTCGCGGGCCTTCGCTCCTTCGCTGACCATGCTGCCGAGCTGACGCAGCAGAAGAAGACGTACCTGGAGCCTCGGAGCTGCCGGACCACTCCCACTGTTCCGTACCTGTTCCACTCGATGAAGATAATCCCCTCGATAGCAACAACCTCGACACCTTTTACCACTTCGCTGACCAAGGTTACGCTACACCACACCCCGTCGACACGAATATTTCGAACGCATCGGCCAACTTCTTACCTGATCCGAAGACGGTGACGAAGCAGCTTATTCCGGGAATGAAAATTCCCCTCGACACACAGCCACGGGACTGCAGATTCTAGGCCTCTGGGTCTCCGTCCAGCATCCGCCGCCGCCTTCTCCGCGCGAGCCTTCGACCTGTCGCAGGCTCTGGGGGGGAACATAAGGCAAATGGAAGGAAGCGATGGAAAAGGAGTTAAAAGCTCTGCAAGACCGAGAAACATGGAAACTGGTACCTGCAACGAGCATCAACGGGAAGAACGTTCTCTCGGGGAAATGGGTGTACCGCATCAAGACCAACTCAGACGGCTCCATCGAACGATTCAAAGCTCGATGGGTCGTACGAGGCTTCGATCAACGATACGGAACCGACTACACAGAAACCTTCGCTCCAGTCTCCCGTCACACCTCTGCGCATCCTACTCGCCGTCGCGGCCACGAAGAAACTACCACTACGCAAATCGACGTTCGCAAAGCGTTTGTACGCACCTGTGGACCGAATCTTCGTCGAACAACCCCACGGATTCATCGACGACCCCAAAAGTATGCCAGCTGAAAAATCCCTTTACGGGATCAAGCAAGCCCCGCGGCTCTGGCAGCAGCACCTTCACGGCCGGCTCGTAAAAATCGGATTCCTACAGTTACCACATGACCAAGGCATGTACCGACTGCAGAAGGGAAGAGATTACATTCTGCTCATCGTCTACGTCGACGACCTGCTCTACATCGGTTCTACCACCGACATCGCCACCTGGTTCGAAGGGGAGCTGAAAAGGGACCTAACGCTCACGGTGTCCGACGAGGTGACGCAGTACCTAGGACTGAACGTCGTCGAAGACGACACGGCGTTCTACCTACACGCTGGAAAGTACTCAAGCACCGTCGCGAAGAAATTCGGGTCTAACACCGACTGCGGTCCCAACTCCCTACCGCTACGGGAACAACAGTAGCGCTCCACAAAACTCCCCGCGAAACAAATCCAGGAGTATCAACAGAAGCTCGGCTGCCTACTATTCGCAACAGTAACCTGCCGACCCGACCTATCCTATAGTGCGAGTCAGCTGGCGACACATCTGAAGCAGCCGCAACAGGAAGATCTCGAAGAACTCAATCGAGCGCTACTCTACTTCGTCTCCACGCCGACGATCGGGCTCACCTACAGCAAGGCAACAACACCGTCCGTACGACTACTCGGATACGTCGACGCCGACCACGCGGGAGACAGCGAAAATCGACGGTCTAGGACGGGCTACATCTACCGACTAGAACCTATCGGAACTATCTCCTGGCAGTCGAGCAAGCAGGAGTTAATCGCACTATCCTCGGCTGAAGCAGAGTATATCGCCCTTTGTACTGCGACCAAGGAAGGACTCTACCTACGAGAGTTACTCGAAGAAGCGAAGATCGCGGACCCTGCCCACCTTCTCACTCCTCTGCGACAACCAATCTGCCGATAAAAATCGCGAACAAGGACGGCTTCGCCAACCGAACCAAGCACATCGCCCTGCGTACTTCTTCGTCAAGGATGAAATCGCGAAGGGGGAGACTTCAACTCAGTTACTGGCCCGACGACAGAAATGGCCGCAGATTATCTGACGAAGAAATTGGCGAAAGCAAAATTCGACTACTGCATGCTCCTAACCGGGGCAAACAAACGTCACCGGATCTGAACACTCCAGCACTCCAGAAACGAAGGGGAGTGTTGGAAATATCTCAAGGACTTAAGCGTTTTCTGAAGTGTAACACTGTACTCGAGGAAGATTACAGGGGAGCACGCGAGTCAACGGAGGTTACACGAGGGGGCGGACCAAAGAATGCGAAAGGACTCGAAAGGTCGCAACTGGAGGTTGCGACTGACCGTTACAACATCACGGATGGTAACCGAAGCGGCAATCGAGTCGCTGTGCGACTCGATAAACCGTTCCTGTAACTGTATTCTACAACTGCTTTTCTTATCTTCTATATATTGCTGTATGCTTGTTTCTTTAATCAATCACTTGTTCTCACATACTAGTACAAGGGTTCAACTGTCTCAATTTTCCGCTGCACTACTCCAAGTCTCAAGTCTCTACAAGCTGGGACTTAGTCTCTGCAAAAGATCCTAAGGGCCTTTCTCAGCCCAATAACAGGGAACCTCGCGTCTAAGGCGAGGTTAGTCTGACGCGGGGCTGTAGGAATTTGCCCTCACTGTATATCTACAAAATGTACAAGGTATGGGCGTTATATCAAAGTGAGAAAGAATGACAGACATATAGGTTTTGCCCGTTATGTCATGCACCTGCTCAGCTCCTTTGCTTCCCCAAACCATCAAGACACAACCTGGATCTCCTTGTGGTGTTGCTGCCCCTTCCGAGCCTCCTCCGCAGCCTCGGCCAGAGCTTTGTCCCGGTCCTTAGGGTAGGTCCAGTAGAGCCCCCGTACAGGGCGCAGCACAGAGCAAAGGGCGCAGCCATGGTCCAAAACAAACCCAGAGACAGAGCCTTGGCATTTTGAGGGTCAGCAGCGGAGGGAGGAGAGGGAGGAGCAAAAGGAGGAGCAGGAGAAGCAGGGGGGGCAGTAGGGGCGGCAGCAGGGGCGGCAGCGGGGGGGGAAGCGGGATGGGAGGGTTGGAAGCCGAACCAGGCTTGGGCGAGGAAGCCGACAGTGGGGGGAGCAAAGGCAGCAACGGACATCTCAAATGCCCGGTCCAGTGCGTAGATGTCCGTGCGCAGGCGCTCAGGCACTATGTCCGCGAATATGGGGCTGCCAGGGAGGGGAGGCGGGGCGGCATGAAAGGGATGGCGGTGGAAGTGGTTGGTGGGTGCTGGGGGGGGGGGACTCAATTCTCTGTTTGGTCGAGCGCGCCGATGTCGGTGTGCAGGCGCCCCGGGACGGGGGGGAACGTAGAGGTGAAGTGCGCTGTTGTATTTTGAGTCGACTCAAAATACAACTAGTGCGCGGGATATATGGGCATAAGGCGGGATGGTTTCGGGCATGGAGTCATGGGGAGGAAACGATGTGCCATGCTATGCCATGCCATGCCATGCCATGCTAGGCCATCCCATCATCCCATCCCTACATTAGCATTGGCATGCACTCACTTATTAGAAGCCGCATCGTTCCAGGAGATCAAGAACCCCATCAGCACCAGCACGCAGAAATACACCCAGAAAAACCGGGTGTCTTGCGGAACCACCCTCAGAAGCACTGTCGACATCACGACCGCTGATCCGGCGCTGATCTGCGCGCAGATCACACGGCCAGAATCGCGCCACGTGGCGGTCATCCAGTCGCCGAACCAGCCAGCAAAAAGACCGCCAAAACTGCAACTAGCAGTGAAAGAGGAGAGGAGGAGGGCGGTGGAGGGGTGGGAGAAACCCACAAGCTCCAGCCACATGGGGAGGAAGGTGAGAGAGGCCCAGGCGAAGGACCCTACGATGCCTTGAGCGACTATTATGAGGAAGGAGGGCGTGCGGAGGACGTGTGAGAGGTCTGAGAGGAAGGAGGGGGAGGAGGGAGGAGGGTGGCGGGGGGAGGAGAGGGGAGAGGAGTCGGGAGAGGAGGGAGAGGAGGGAGTGGTTGGAGAGAGGACGGGGGATGGAGTGTGTGTGGAGGGTTGATATGGAGCCTTGGAGGAGGTGGAAGTAGACGGGGTTGAAGCAGGGGAGGTGGGTTTGGGGGAGGTGGCATGTGAGGGAAAAAGAAGGGGCTGTGTGGCTGAAGAGGGATCAGAACCGTCGATACACGAATCGGCCAGAGAATCCACATCTAGACATCTCCGCCGAGCATCCTCGTTAGAGAGGTCTTCGATAAGAAATTGTCTTGGAGAGTCTTGTGCAAAGAGGGAGATAAAAGCTGCTAGCAGCAGACTGATTGCTGCTACGACAAGAAATGCCATCCGCCATCCATCCATCCCAAACCCAAAGAGGATGGCTATTGTTCGGGCAGGTATCCCAGCCAGGGTAATTCCGATGCTGTACCCCAGAATGTCTCCAAAATAAGTCATGAATTGTAACCATCCGAATGCCACGCCGCGATTGGTCGGAGACGCCAGGTCAGCAATGAGTGATTGGATAGGAGGGAAGACCAGAGCGAGGCCGATGCCGTTTAGCCCGCGTAGCCATGCGACCTGGCGGTATGACGTGGCGAGGCCCACCGCCAGCGTGGCCAGGCCCCAGATGAGCGCCCCCGAGGCGATGATGTGGACACGTGGCATGTAGAGGGAGAGCCATGGCGAGAGCGGGCAGACTAGCGCCTGCACTAGGGCTCTCACTAGAGTGAGCGCGCCTAGGTCTTTCGGTGAAGCGTGGAACGCCCGACCAACCTGGAAGGTGGGAGTGGCGGGGGGGGGGGGGGAAGGGGGAACGATGGTTTCGAAGGAAGGGGGAGAGGGGGGGGAGAGAGGGGGGGAGGGGGGAGGGGGGGAGGGTAAACGGGTGGGGGTGGGGTTGGGGGGGGGGGGTGGGAGGATGGAAATGCCAAGGGATCTGCTTGAAAGAAAATCGGTTGATCCGGATCGTTCCGAGGCTATGGTCAAGACCCACTAGGACGACACAGAGAAAACCACAGGGATCGTAACTTATTCTACCAATAGAAAGGCACAGAGATCGCAACGTATTCTACCATTAGAACGACAGAGCGACCGTCTTTTTTAAGTACCTCGTTGTACACGGCGGGAAGGAGCGACTCATCCGCCCTCTCGACGATCGCGGCGACGTTGACGAGGATCAATGTGCGCACTCGCACGTCCTTCCACCACCGCGCCGTGCTCATGCCGCTAATAACGAAGTGCCTAAGAAACGTTGACTGGAATCAACGTGCGCACGCCCACGTCCTTCCACCACCGCGCCGCGCTCATGCTGCTATTCCCGTCTGAGCATGCGAATGCGTTGCCATCAGAATGCGTTGTCCGATTACTCGGTTTAAACGGTTACTCTCAATTCCCTCTATTGCCAACGTCGGGCCTGCGCGCGGCTAAGCGCGAGCGACGCATGCCAGAGATTGCTCTGGGCTGGACCTAGTAGTAGCCGAAAGGTCGGTACACGTCAAGCCACGCCCAGAGACCACATCCAAGTGCATGCCAAATGTGGAATAGCCCCAGGGTCTCGATACAATTCTGGCCAGGGCAAATTTTGATCGGAATAATTCCAGCTTTTATTGTACACTACCACAAACGTAGCTTTTCTAGGAATATACTTTAATAATAAGCGTACTATTTCAAACCACGAAGCACTCAGGTTCCGGACTACTATTTCACCTGACCTGCCCTCCGAGATTCACGGCTTTCCCTTCCCCATCTGCTGCAGCGCAAACTCGTTTGCGCGGATGCTCTCTTCGACCAATCGCAGCAGCTCTTTCGTGCTCCCCGGGAGCCCCCCGCCCAATAAGCCCAGGGAGTCGCACGCCATCGCAGCGGTAATTGGCGACACCTGCGACGTCTGCGACGCCCGGAATGTCGCAGGATGTCGGCTCGTCCACCTGCGCGACGTCGCCTCGCCGCTCACCTCGGGACTCGCTCCGAATCGCAGATCCCCACTCAAATCACACCTGCCGTTTACAACACCCAACTCGTCTAATTGCCGCAGCAAAAACGCGGAAGTTACGGGCGGCATAGTCGCCGCAGTAACCGCAGTCGCCGGGACTGTCGCTGGCGCTGCCATTGCCTTCGTGAACTCCGCAACCATTCGCGAAAATGTTGTCGTGTCGGGAATCGACGATGCAGATTGAAGCTTCGGTTGGATCAACGGCACAGCGACCGCGACTCCCGGGCTCGAGCCTCGTACCGCCCTCTCGATTTGCTCCATCTGGTTCGGATCGATCGGCGCACAGGCGACGCTCGGCACCACCTGGGATGACATGTCCCGCTGCGAAATCCGCGGTACTAGCTCGTCCGTTTGTCGCTCATCAGATTTGCGCGCTGAGTGCGCTGCGACTCGTGGAGATGCTCGTAAAGCGTCCAGGCTCGCCGATGTGGCAGCCGTGCTCGAGCCCTGCCTCTCCAGCAAATTGCCTTCACCAACCACCACCACTACGTCCCCCTCCAAAACCCCGGCCGCGTTTCCCCATGGTCCTCCGCCGTTGAGCTTCTCGGCTCCCGGGCGAGCCGTGTCGGGTTCGCCTCGTACTGAGTCGCTTCGTGCGGCCGCGCACTCGGGCCAGATCACGTCCAGCAGCCGGTTCGTCTCCTCGTCGAAGTCGCCCAATTCCCGGAAATCCGCCAACTCGGCTATGTCGCGCGTCTCGTTGCGCGACTGGAAGTCGTCTGGCGCCGCGACTCCGCAATCGTCGCGAATCGCATCGCTTTTATCAGAAATACTAGGACCTTGCTTAGTGTCGACGCCAGCCACATGAGAGCTTTGGCTTGGGCTATGGCGGATAGCCCCAACCCCGCGTACGTTCCTATAAGCGGGTGTGATATTATCGCGGTCGGGAAAAGCTTGGTTGCGCGAAGCTGGGTTGGAGTTGGTCAGCTCTTCCAATGCAGCCATGACGTCAGCGGGCATCATCAGACGACGCACGTCGCTGTGACGTTCGAAGAACGTTCCGCCTCGCTGGCGCTTCGTCTCGGGATAATCCATGTCAGATCGCCGGCGCTTCGCCTCGGAGAAGCGGATATTCGGGAATGCGGATTCGCAGGAAAAGCGCGGCGGCGTCGAGAGGGAGACGAGGCCTACGGTGTTTGACGCGCAGGAGATGGCGTCGTGGGTGAGAAATCCTGATCCTTGTGCGGTTGCGATGAGGGGAGATGCCGAAACGTTCTGGAGCGGCATTGCGGAAAAATAAGGCGATATAGGTCGGCTGCTGTAGTCTATAGTAGGCGATACTTGAAGCCGTCAAATTATAGGGGAAGAATTCGTGGTATGACTGAAGGACGTTGCACTCCAGAGAAATTGGCTTGAATTGCTACCACACGGAAGTGAAGCCCCCTTTTATGAGAATCAGTCGAGTGTCAGTGGAGCGGATTGTGATGTGAAGCGACAGTGAAGGTTGCAGCTGCTGCTGCCGAGGCTCATGGCAGCTGGGTGTGCGCGAAAGAAAGCGCGTCGCGGGAAGCGGACGCCTGCTACCAGCAAAGCGACAGCTGCACATGGCGAATTTCGCCGCTGGCGAAAATCGCCCCTACCACATTGACAGGCGCGATTGCTGCCTGTGATGTGAAACGAAATCTCATTTCGCTTATCGAATCAGCGATTCTCTTTCAGGCGCAGATGAACCCCACCCACAACTGCGAGTTTGTCCCGTACGGCTCCTTCCTTGCATAGTTCGCTGGTGTTACGCACAGGGATGACGCACATAGTCGAAAATATGACTTCATCGAGCAGGAAGTCCTGCCTTTTCCAGTTTTGTGGGATGTTGCTTTGCTGGTGTTGCACACGTGATGACGACAGCAGGCGCGAAATCTCCGGCAAGGGCGACCCTTCGACAGGGGTCAGAGCCAGAAGTTTCATTCTTGTCGAACACGTGAATCCGCCTGCCAGAATATAGCAAGTGAAACCAGGATGGAGGATCGTACTGCACATGTGGACTGTACTGCTGGTGATGTCGTGGAGATGGAACGGGACGGGATGGAAGGGAGCAACACAACACTTCCCGCTTGCCCCTGTCAAGCTAAGAGCGTGTCCAAAGTGCTGTCTGTAAGTGCTGTCTGTCATTCACTGTTACCCGATATCAAAACAAATCGTAGCCGTTCATATATGTCAGTACAAAAATCAACGGACAAGATTTGTTATGTTATCCCTGCCATCCGCTGTTATCCGCTAAGGAGTGTCCAAGTGCCCTTGACATCCCCGATGGATGTCGTCGGATGTCAAAATTCACTTAGGACATCCAGAGCAGCGTGCGTTGTTGCCCTTCCGCCATCCCGGCACTGTAGCGAGTCATTCGACCTCACGTTTCAGTGCCACAGCCAGCGAATCTGTCCACGTGGTGAACGAAGCATGTTCCAAGCACATGGGATGTGATCACGCGAACCTTGGGTTATGAACAGTGACATGCGGTGGATCGTGCACATGGGGGGTGGGGTGAAGAGATGGCGGATCATCCTCGTTGCAAGGGGGACGTTGGATGCGATGACTTGTTTCGAAACAAGTGATAATCCATCCAGCAAAGCACTGCACTGTAAAATTCCTCCGCAATGTCTATTTTGTATTTCTACCAAAAATTCAACAGAAATCATACAGCATTACCATTGGCTTTGTGAATATCTTCATCGCGCTTGTGCTCATAGTACAGCTAAAAACGGGTCCGAACACCTCGATAGTCCCCTGGGACCTACCCCACATGGACCGAGTCGCAGAACCTCGCCTTCCCAGCTTGGTTGTCCAGTCCGGTTCGGAGTTCGCTATCCTTGGTCCTAAAGCGGTCACGCCAAGGGCGGACTCAACCAGAGCTACGAGCTTATCCATTATCAGGGGTCAATGGAGGAGCGTAGTAGTGTGTCCTTGAGTCCAGGAGCGTCGGAGCACTAGGCACAACAAGGAACAGATGATTTGGTGGTGAAGTATTTGTTACCCATGGCGGGACGGTCCGGTAACTCCCCGTCCGCGGCGCGCCATCGCTCCTTCCTCGTCCGTTCCGCGACTCCAGCTCGCGTCGCGATCGTCGCGGCGTTGCTAGTCGTCTCGCTCTTCCTCGTCCTCCCGCAATCCACGCGCGACCTCTTACTCTCCGCGGCGCCGGAATCCCTCTCCCCCTCCGCATTTCCGGATCTCGAGACTCCCCCTGCCACGCTAGGCCAGAACGCTGACGTGGAAGAGGTTAAGCAGTCGCCGCTGGTCCCGCTGACGGTGCTTGCTGACCTGGATGATGACGGGGCAGTGTGCTTAGATGGCTCCCCGCCAGCCATCCACCTGTCGCCCGGATGGGGTCGTGGGTCCAACAACTGGGTGATTTACCTCGAGGTCAGTCAAACTCAGTCAACGCGAGTAAAACGCGAGCCAATGGGAGTCAATGCAGGTCAATGCAGGCCAATGCAGGTCAATGCAGGTCAATGCTAGCCAAATCAAGGCTAAATCATTCAATGCGGGTTCATGCCAGTGTAGAATGTGACTGTGTCTCTGAGGCATTCATTCACTATTGTCACGTGCCTGTATCGCGTCAGGGCGGAGGCTGGTGCAGTGACGAGTGCGCGCAACGCTCCCGCGGCGCTCTGGGGTCGTCCAAGCGCATGGGGAGAATCATGCCCTTCGGGGGGATCCTCTCCCACGACCCTAAGGTCAACCCTGGTGCGTTCTAAGGCAACCCTGGTGCGTTCTAAGTCAACCCTGGTGCGTTCAAATTCAAGCCTGGTGCGTTCAAACTGAATTTGGTGCACCGAAAGTCAACCCAGATACATGCGTCCCCTCTCACCAACTGGCCCTTTTTTAGCAAAGAAAGGGGAATTTCCATGAATGACGTCGTCGCATTCACCCTGCATAACTTCCCTCGTTTCCCATTTCCTTTTCCTTCTCCTTTTCCTTTTCCTTCTCCCATTTCTTCTCCTTTCCTTTTCCTTCTCCATTTCCTTTTCCTTTTCCTTCTCCTTCTCCTTTTCCTCCAATTTCCTTCTCCCATTTCCTTTTCCTTTTTCGTATTCTTTTCCCAGATTTCTACAACTGGAATCGGGTCTACTTTCATTATTGTGACGGTGCCTCTTTCCTCGGTGACACAAACGAGCCAGTCCAGGCACAATCCCGCCTTGTCTTTTTCCGAGGGAGGCGCATCTTCACCGCCGTGATCCGGCACCTCATCTCCCACCACAACATGGGGGCGGCATCGCTTGTCTTATTATCCGGCTGTTCTGCGGGCGGTGTGGCCTCCCTGCAGAACTGTGACAGGCTGGCGGGGATTCTCCAGCAATCGTCCAGCCAATCAGGAGCGAGCGGAAGAGATGGAGGGGAGGAAGTAGGGAAGGAAAGAGGGGAGGAAGGGCCGGTGGTGAAGTGCATGGCTGATGCGGGGTTCTTTCTGGACTCACAGGATGTTGGAGGGGTGCGGCGCATGCGAGAGCGGTTCAGAGCGGTCGTTGCAACCCAGGTGAGATGACGTGCCATGGCATGGCACACAGTGTATGATGGGTGAGATCACACAGTTGAGATGATATGGGTGAGATGACACGGGTGAGATGACACAGTTGAGATGATATGGGTGAGATGACACGGGCGAGATTACACGGGTGAGATGGCACGGGTGACATGGCACGGGTGAGATGACACGGGTGAGATGACACAGGTGAGATGACACGGGTGAGATGACACGGGTGAGATGAGTTTTCTTGTGGGAGTAATCCGGTTGCTTGAGTTTGTCAAGTGGACCTCTCAGAAGAACCAACCAATCCTGGCAGCCCCTCTCATCCATCGATCTCTCCTGCCTCTCCCTCCTTTCTCTCGCTCCCCCCTTACTCCCCCTCACTCCCCCTCGCTCCTCTCTCCCCTGCCATGGTGTCTCCTCTCCAACAGAACGTGTCCCTGAATGCGCACTGCACAGCTACTGTTGCACTGGAAGACCACTACTTGGTACTGTTCATGCCAGATATGTTACTGTTCATGCCAGATATGTTACTCTTCATGCCAGATGTGTTACTGTTCATGCCAGATATGTTACTCTTCATGGCAGCGTATGTTACTGTATTTGTCTCTGAAAAAACTCTAAACGTTGGCTGCAGTCCTGTAGCGTATGTTCCCACCCACCTGAGCCAGTTATTGTTCATCTCACAATAATTAGCTGTTCATGCTCCCGAAGTTTCCTGTGGTCGGCTGAATGCGACCTATCTTAACCTCAACCTCCTCTCCCAGCAGCGCCCCAAAACCCCATTCCCCCCCCACTCCCTTCCCCTCCCTCCCACTCCCTTCCCCTCCCTCCCACTCCCTTCCCCTCCCTCCCACTCCCTTCCCCTCCCTCCCATCCTTCCCCTCCCCCACTCCTTCCCCTCCCACCACTCCCTTCCCCTCCATCCTTCGGGTCATCCCTCCCCCATCGCATGCCCCTCCCCCATCACATGCCCCTCCCCCATCGCATGCCCTCCCTATCGCATGCCCCTCCCCCATCCATGCTCCTCCCCCATCCATGCCCCTCCCCATCGCATGCCCCTCCCCCATTCCATGCCCCTCCCCCATTCACATGCCCCTCCCCCATCACATGCCCCTCCCCATCGCATGCCTCTCCCCCATCACATGCCCCTCCCCCATCGCATGCCTCTCCCCATCCATGCCCCTCCCCATCCCATGCCCCTCCCCATCACATGCCCCTCCCCATCCCATGCCTCTCCCCATCACATGCCCCTCCCCATCCATGCCCTCCCCCATCCATGCCCCTCCCCCATCGCATGCCCCTCCCCCATCCATGCCCTCCCCATCACATGCCCCTCCCTATCGCATGCCCTCTCCCATGCCAGTCGTCATGCTCTCCCGGCATCTCCCCTTCTGCATGCCTCTCACCCCCTCCCCATGCCCCTCCTCCCTTCCCATCTGCTCCAACCTCCCCCCGTGTATCCCTCCCTGCCCATTCTTGCATGCCCCTCCCCACCACCCCCACCGCCTGTCCGTCAGTGCTTCTTCCCGGAGCATCTCCTTCCCTTCCTGCACCGCCCTTTCTTCATCCTCAACCCTCTCTACGACTCCTGGCAGGTGATGTTCTACACCCCGCTCTCGGTTATCATACTTCTCCTAGCTCCTACCACTGCTGTTGCTTCTTTTGCTTTCAGCCTGACTCCGGAGAACTATGTCTGACTCCGGAAAGCTATGTCTGACGACCTCTCTTCATCCTCAACCCTCTCTGCGACTCCTGCCTGGTGATAGGCTCTCTATAGCAGGTGATCTTCTCGTACCGACCACCAAGTATCCTTCTCCTTCGCTCAGCACCAGTCTTTCCCCGCCCTAGACTGGCACCCCTGCCGCACCAACCTGCACTCCTGACCCCCCTCCCTCCCATTACCTGCTCAAGCATTCCCCCCCCTTTCCCTTCATTCCCACAACAACAGGTCTCCAACTCCTTCGCGCATCGCCAGTCTTTTCCTGCCCTAGACTGGCACGAGTGCCGCAACGACCTGCACTCCTGCCCTCCCCACCTGCTGCAGCTACTCCATGGTACAGTGCGGTGATATGCGGTGATGTGCGGTGATGTGCGGTGATGGTGGTGAGTGGTGTGATGTGCCGGTGATGTCGGGGTGGGTGTGATGTGCGGTACTCCTGCTGCAGCCTCTCTTCCCCCGGCCCTCATCTTCCCCCTCCGCCCTTTTTTTTTGCCAGAACCTCTTTGTTTGAACCCCATCTCATGTTAAGAAGTCTCTGTCCTCTCCTGAAGAGGTCCCTCTCCCATCAAATCCCCCCCTGACTCCCTGTGCCCATCCCTGCCCAGTCTACCACCACCATGTTGGCTTTCACCCCCCCCCTGACTCCCTGTGCCATCAAGTCGCTGTCCCTGATCTGATTGTTGGCCTTCGTCTGCCCCTGTTCTCGAATGTTGGCTTTCGCCCCCCCTGACTCCCTGTGCCCATCCCCGCCCAGTCTACACCACCACATGGTTTCCAACCTCTCTCCTTTCCTCCCTGCCGCAAACAAGCCCGTTCCGCACACGCACCCTGACCCCGAGCGCCCGCAAACTCTCCTTGCTCGTCGGAGGGCAGGGGAGGGTGGGGGGTCAGAGGGGTAGGAGCAAGAGGAGAGGAAGGACGAGCAAGGATGGTAGAGAGGAGGAGGAGAGCGGAAAAAGGACGATAACGAGGAGGAGGAAATGGAAGAAAGGATGATAAGGAGGAGGAGGAGAATGGAAGAAAGGGTGATAATAGGGAGAGGAGAGAGGAAGCAAGGATGATAAGGAGGAGGAGGAGAGAGACACGTGAGTGTGCAGGAGGGAAGGGAGGAGGGAGGCAGTATAGGCAGGAAGAGTGGAGACGGGGGGGATGGAGTGGAGGGAGAGAGGAGGGAGGAGGGAAGAGAAAGGGAGAGGGATGGAAGGTGGGAGGAGCAGGGGGCGATGGGGCGGGATGGTGAGGAGGAGGGGGGCGATGGGGCGAGGGATGGTGACGAGAAGGGAATGAGGACGAGAGGGGATAAGGACAGGAGGGGAGTGAGGATGAGGGAAAAGAGAAGAGGAGAGGGGAGGCGAGGGGGGAGAGGAACTGAAAAAGAGTGGAAAAGTGAGGCTGGTGTGCGAGAGAAGGGGAGTGAGGAAGGGAGGAAGGGGAGGAGAAGGGGAGGAGGGTGGCGAGGGGGAGGAAGGGGAGGAAGGGAGGAAGGGGAGGAGATGAGGAGGTTGGATGACCAGGCAGTTGGGGAAGGAATAAGGAGTTGGATGCACAGATGGGAAGTGCTGTGCCCGGTAGCATGGATGGCGGTGTGCGTCGTGGCATGGATGGTAGCACGAATGCTGGCATGCATGGCAACACACTCTCCTCGTCCACATCATCTGCGTGCACAAGGGAGCTTGCGGAATGGAGCACTGCTGCTGTCATGCCACACACACTGCATGGTAAATGTCCTGCCACACACACTGCCTGGTAAGATGTCCTGCCACACACACTGCATGGTAAGATGTCCTGCCATGTACTCTGTCTAGTGAGTGGTCATGCCA